ATTTTGACCTTTATCTCTTTATACAGCATTTAGGCAAGAGATGGACTGTGTAAAGATTTTTTTTTTATCACACCTTGCTCCTTCTTGAGCTAGATAGTTTTTATGTCATGATATCAGTTTTACTTACTTACAATTATTCTTTTTAGGTCCACAATATACTCAAATATATCGAATCTCCTTCCATACTTAGCACTGACTGAATTCCACACCTAATGCATAAGTGACTATCCTGGGGTGTGTTTTTGAGGAAACAACTCTGAATGTTCTGTATCTGCCATTTTGTCAGGCCTGGGAGAAACAGACTCTCCTTTATTAATTTATGAACAATTTAAAAGGAATAAAAATCAGAGTTTATCAAGTTCATGTTATTATTTTTATGTATTGGCATTTGGAAAAGTCTCTAGTCATTGTTTCTTATTATCACTATCGCTTTTAAAACCTCCAATATAGTCATTTTGGCAAAGGCGTGAATACCAACAACTGCAAGAAAACAATGGGCCTCGCTTTGTAATGTGATGTGGGGAAAATATTTTTTAATTTTCTAACAGGTGCTGGGCTATGAGTCTGACTCATAAAGATAGTAATTATACCTCTTTTCTGAAATGAAGCAATAGAGAGAGAACATACTAAAATTGTTAAAGAAAGCATGACTTGGGTTCTCTCTCTATCTGGAGAATTCATGATCCTGGAAGGTTTTTTTCAAATGAGTCATTGATTTGTGAAGTAGTGCAGGAGTGCATATTTGTCTTTGTGTCCAAAACAAAGACTCTTAGCAAATTGAATCTCATCGTACCTTTAGACAATTCAGGAAAGAAAATCTTGAGAGCTTTATGGTGTTGAGCAGGGATAAAGCCTTCTTACAGCTTGGAACAAAATTCTTACCAGTTTCAACCAACAGATCAAATGCATTTCAGAAGTGATGTTCACATAAAGAACTGTTTAGAACTCGAGCCCTCCGTACAGGCAGGGTGCTAACGGGCTACACGTGCTACCCTGTGTGAAAATGAGAGCCAGTCGATTCTTGTGGAGCACTGGTGATAGCATGGATCAGAACAAGCAACGCCTCCTCATCCCATAAGTGGTGAAAGTATGGCGGGCGGAGGGCTGGGGAATGACAACAAGGTAGTGTGACAAAGACCAGTTGAACACAAGGGTGAAAATGGCAAGATGGGTGCACTTTCATTTGAATTGCAAAGGGCAAATGTGTGATGTTGAATATTTGCTCCATGCCTTATTTAGCACCTGTAGCTCACAGATCTGGGCATAAAATTGTCCCAGATCCAATTCTACTCAATAGAAGATTGTGTTCTTTCTCTCTCTCTCACTTTTGGAATAGGATATAAGACAATAAAAACAGAGGCTGACCAAAAAGGAAATTGCTAGGAATTAATTTGAAAAGAAAAACTCCAGAAAGTGGTTGCTGGTCACTCTAGCTCCTGGCCTTCCTGCATCTCCTTACATCATTCTCTGATCACTTTGGACAATTTCCTTCCCAAGCCCCTGTATTGGTACGCTTGATTCAGCGTCAGTAAACCGACGGGTTGCAGTGGAAGAACACCCACTGACACATGGCCAAGGGTGTGGATCACTCTGCAGTCTGCACTGTGTCACTGCTGACAGGGACACTGAAGATTTGTTGGAGGTTGCACTGGGTATCAAACAAAAACCAAACAAACAAATAAAACCTACATGGTATCAAACGTTGTCACTGGGTGTGAAGGACAAGTTATCACAGCCGTCCATCCCCTAGGCAGGCCATTATTTGAAAGGCTATGAGAGGGAGAATGGTATAAGCCTGGAACTTAAAACCAGGAAGTGTTTATGGATAGGATTTGGATCACTGAGTTCATTAGTTCTTTTCACTGACACCTAAAACTACAGGGAGTGCAAATAATAACTAGGAATCCATTGTGTCCTTTGGTGTGCTAGCCTGAATTGTGTACCCCTCTGATTCATATGTTGAAGCCCTACTTCCTATCATGACTGTATTTGGAGATAGGACTTTTCAAGAGGTAGAGTTAAATGAGGTCATAAGGGTGGGACCCTAATCCAATAGAACTGGTGTCCTTATAAGAGGAAGAGACATAAGCGGTGTGTGTGCATAGAAGAAAGACCATGCGAGGACACGGAGAGAAGGCAGTGGTGCGCAAGCCAAGGAGAGAGACCTCAGAGAGACCAAACCTGCCAACACCTTGATCTTGAACTTGCAGCCTTTAGAACTTAAAAAAATAAGTTCCTGTGGTTTAAGCCACCCAGTCTGTGGTATTTTGTTAGGGCAGCTCAAACAAACTTAAGACATTAGGATAGTTCGCAGCTGTAATGCCATCCCACTGTGATATTGAGTTGCAGCCCAGAAACAAGGAAGTAGCCAGAATTCCATGAGCCTGACGTACACACCGAATTTGGTTTCTGTGTCAATTTCCATCTCTCTTGTGCATTATACTAATAGCATGAGGCATAGAGGAACCATCCCTTCGATTCAGTGTGCTGGACACTGTGCTAGGTGTTCTGAAAAAGCAAAAATGACTCACAGAGTTGCTGCCCTTAACTCATCATCTGGAGAAAGACAAGATGAGTCAGTTCTCTGATACAGGTATAACAAAGGACTTTGGGAGACAAGAATGACTAATTTTAATTTGGGGCTTAGGATTGTGGGAAGGACAGGAAAGAGCAGGGAAGGTTTCACAAAGAGGGAGAAGTTTGAGGAGAACTGTATGGTATCTGTTGACGTCTAACAAAGCACCCCAGACTAGCAGCATAAAACAACCACCCATTTATAAGGCTCAGGGGTCTATGGGTCATGAATTGGAACAGGACACAATGTGGATAGACTGTCTCTACTCCATGCTGTCTGAAGCCCAGTTGGCTGGGAGCGACTCAAAGGACAGAGTGTGGAAAGCATCCGCTTCTAGGATGGCTTCTTGGGCCACATCCCTGGAATGAAGGACAGGCTCAGCTCGAATGCCAACCATAGCAGACCGGATGGCCTCTCCCGTGCTGCAGCCTCAGGGTGCTGGACCTCTTACTTTGAGGTCCAGGGCTTCCATATCAAGTGCTCCTAACAAACAAGGCAGGAACTACATAGCCTCTTTTGACCTGGCCTCGGGAATCACATAGCACCATTTCCATTGTGCTCATTGGTGGAAGCAGTTTCATTTAAAAGGACGGGACACAGATTCTACCTCTCTATGTAAGGAGTAATCAGATATTTATTGCCACATTTTAAAACTGCCATCATGACCTTGAAGCATGAATAGGATTCCAATAAACCTCATACACCAAAGCTTTATTTCCTAAAATTTTTTTTCTGATTTTACACAGAATGCACATTCATTATTAAAAGAAAAGAAAACCGTGGAAAAGTAGAAGGAAACTCATTCATTATTTCAATAGGCAAGCTATGTGCCTGAACCTGAAGTAGGAATTAGAGCTATCACCATAAATAAGAAATAGTTCCTACCCTCAAAGAGTGTACAGCCTACTAGGCCACCCATGATCGCCCCATCAAGAGATACCACAGCTAATATGTTGGTGCAGTCCTTCCCAATTTGAGTAACACAAATTGAGATTATCCTGTACATACGTTTTTGTGTCATGGTTTGTTTGTTTCCCCTGATACACAAGATAGTATGGGAGTTTTCCACGCCGTATTAAATATTCTACAAAGCTGTGATCTTGAATGAATGTATCATATATCATCATAGGAATAGGCCATCATTTATTTAACCTTTTCCCTGCTGCTGGACATTCAGGTTGTCTTCAAGTTTCTGCTACTACCAAATAATACTGTACTAAACATGATTACTCATCTTTATGCTTCTCTGACAATTTTCATAGGATTAATCTCTTGAGTTAGTTGAATTACTAGTTCAATAAGAACTTTTAGAAGCTCTTGATTATAGTTTTCCAATTTGGTTTGCAAAAATGCTGTCCTGGGGGCACCTGGGGGGCTCAGTCAGTTAAGCAGCTGCCTTCAGCTCAGGTCATGATCTCAGGGTCCTGGGATCAAGCCCCGCATCAGGCTCCCTGCTCCACAGGAAGCCTGTTTTTCCGTCTCCCACTCCCCCTGCTTGTGTTCCCTCTCTCGCTGTCTCTCTCTGTCAAATAAATAAATAAAATCTTAAAAAAAAAAAAAGCTGTCCTGGTTTACATTTCCCTAGCATGTGTTTGAGGAGCATCAAGCCACAGACCATGTGGAAAGAAAGCCTGTTCCCCAGGTTTGGGGTAGAGAGATTTGGCGCAGTCTGAATTGAACTAAAAAATACTGAAAGAAACCAAAGGCGGTTATAAACCGTAGTCAACTAATAAGCAGCATGGGCTTGGCCACTAAAGAAATGGATTCTAGGAAATGATTACTGCAGAGTCAGGGTAAATGTAAAGGCTTCATTGGCTTCTAGCATAGCTTGGGGGCAATGTTGTAACAACAAGTGTGACTTAAGGAACACTCAGAAACCTAGGTTCATTGTGGGCATGAGTTAGGACTCCTTAGGTGGTAAGCAATAGCGGCCAACCTCAGCTCATCTAAACCAAGGGGGAATTTACTGGAAAAACAGTTGATTTCTCAATGGCTGGGAAACAAGGCTCAGAAACCAGAACATAATGGACAGGAAGTGGGAAACTCAGTGGGTAGGAAGCCACATAGGATCGAGGGTCTAAGACACAGGACCTCTTAGCAGGGTTCCCTGGGTATATCGCTATGAACAATGAATAAGCTCCAACTGGCTTCTGTCTTTTGATGAGTTGGCTCAAATTTTGAATTCCTGGGAAGGCAGATCCAACCAACCTCCCAAGGTTCAAGTGCCTCTCCTGGGGCCAGAAACAGGAAGGCACCTTGACTAAACAGCTTCCCGTGTATAGGAGAACTAACTACCAGAGTAAATCCGGGCATAGCCAGCCCAAACCAAAACTATCTACCATACCATGTTACCTGGCAGGGGAGGCACACTAATACCTAACCCTTGTTAATCCCTGAGGCCAAATTCATTTGTCACGCTGAGCCTCTGCCTCTCTACCCCACCCCACCCCACCACACCAAAGTAGGAATCTGTGGGAATGACAAGAGACCCAGGGCCTGTTAGGTTTTGATGAGGGACAAATGGGAAACTGTAAATATGAGCTACAATGTGTGAGGCACCATGCTAGATGATGGGATGAATAAATAATTAAAGTAAATAATCCTGCTTTAATTTGAACTGAGTGTTAGCTTCTTCCCCTCCCCACTTCCTTTTTGTTTGGAAGTCTGGGCTTAGATTAAAGCAACCAGAAAGTAAGTAGACTGGAAGCAGTCTTAAAAGAGGGCCAGAACCACGCCCTGCATGCTGCCTTTGGCAAGGCTCGAGTCCCTCCACCGCCTGGTAAGCCCGATGCAGGAGAGAATCCAAAAGAGATTGTCACATGGCTTCATTTGAGGGGGATGCCAAACATGGATCAGGGGTGTAAACTTAGGAGGCTGGCTCTCTCCAAGAGGAGATCCTTAGGGCAGTATCTCCCAGACTTGTCATTCCCTGATAGCTGATAACAGATGAAAATGAGGCCATTGGCCCTGAAGTTACCTCTGGTGCTTGGGAACAGGAAGAAGAGATGAGATTCCCCCCTCAGAGATCCGTTGTTTAGCCAGGCAGTGGCAGCATAACAAAAGGGACAGGTAAGTTTTAAGGCCGGAAGCAAGGTAACACAAGCTTCATTGCACTTAGAGGACATGAAAAGTCAGTGTCAGGGAGGGGTTCTTAGGTTGGGAGAGTGTTATAAAGGGGAAGAGGGGCCCATGAAGACGGGAGGGTGGTCAGGGAATGACAGACTCCACTCTCTGGAAAGAGGCCAAGAGCCCTGGTCTCAGATCCCCATTGCTTCCCTTACTGGGAGAATCATCTTAGGGTATGACAGATCAGACTTCTTAAAATATTCCCTTTGAGGAAAGGTAGGTAGGTAATTAGCTGCCCCCTTGAGACATTGGTATTGGGGTACAAGGTGGGGAGAGTGGTCCTGTACTGGTTGCTAGAGTCAACTTCTGTTTTCAAGAGCATATTCTTAAAAAAACTACAGGATTTTTATATCTGCAGAACCATGGCAAGGTCTCAAGAGTTCCCAAGAAAATCTTCCCAGCACCTTGAAGGGGAGTGTGGAGATGGCCATTTGTTCGAGGGCCTTGCTGAGTTGAGGGGGGTGGTCTTGTCAGTCAGTGGGCCCAGGGTCAGAGCAGGGCCAGAGGGAGCCCTGGGCACAAGAGGGGTTACATGGGGGCACCTGGGTGGCTCAGTTGGTTAAACATCCGACTCTTGTTTCCTTTTTTTTGTTGTTGTTGTTTTTTTAGATTTTATTTATTTATTTGATAGAGAGATAGCGAGAGCAGGAACACAAGCAGGGGGAGTGGGAGAGGGAGAAGCAGGCCTCCCACTGAGCAGGGAGCCTGATGTGGGGCTTGATCCGAGGACCCTGGGATCATGACCTGAGCTGAAGGCAGATGCTTAACAACTGAGCCACCCAGGCACCCCCGACTCTTGGTTTTGGCTCAGGTTGTGATCTCATGGGTTGTGAGATCGAGCCCCATCTCAGGCTCCACGCTCAATGTGGAGTCTGCTTGAGGATCCTGTCCCTCTGCCCCTCCCCCCACTCTCTCTCAAAATAAATAAATCTTTTTTTTTTTTTTTTTTTTTAAAGAAGGGTTTCAGTAGCCCTGCCATATGGAGAATTTAGAAGCGGCCACACCACAGGATAAGTGCAAAGACATTTACATCGTGACTTTTCTCATGGGGAACACTTCAGTAATTTTTTTTCTGAAATACTAAATTATTTCCAATTTTTTCCTCCATATTCCAGTGCTCTGTCTGCTTAGCATGCCTGGGATAACTAACTGCTGACTCCATGAGGCCTGACCAGAGGGACTTTGCTAACTGTGCAGAGGCAGCCTGGATGTATCACAGCAAGTATGAAGTCTAGACGTGAACAGTATCCTGCCTGGAACCTGTGAGTCACTGGGATCCCTTCCCAAGGAAGAGGATTTCTGTCCTGGGGCAGGCTCTGTTCTCCCTGCAGGGATTCTCCAGGGGAACCCCTCAGCCCCTTCCAACTGGGCAAAGGCTGAAGGGCCAAGAAACAGCCAAATGTCTGAAGGGGCATCCAGGATGGACTATCACCCTGGGAACCTCCGCCTCTGAGACCCTGTCCCGCTCAGAGCACCCCGAGCCCCGAGTGTGTCTACCCTCACCCTGCAAGCTTGGGGGCGTGGGCTCTCCCCGGGGCCAGTCCTCCACGGAGGTCCTTCTCTGCCGTCGCCTGCGCCCAGCCCTGCCCTCCATCCAGGCCCTTTCCCACTTCTGAAATTATGTGGCACTTAAATTCCTCTGACCTCTCAGCCACCTTGTTGATAGTTACCTTTTTTTCTTAATTTTTGATGTTTTGTTCCCCTGTCCAAAAATCTGTCCAATGTTCCTGGAGGCCAAAAATCTTCCTACTTCTCTGTGTGTCCCACACAAACCCTAACACATAGTACGGTGCTCCTCTGGGTCCCTTTCTCCTCGCTGATCACAGCTTAAATCTTCGCTGGCAACAGTTGTACATCACTTTCACGCATTATCCAAACCAATATTCTTAATCTTTTAAGAGTAATTCTATTCTGTGAGAATATAGTGAAAGCTTTGACCCTCTCCCCAGGAAGATGCACATAATCATGTGTAAACAAAATGCTCGTGCTAATTTCAGGGCTCTGCAGCCCCCACGAAGCCTGTCAGCCATTGACCCTAAGCTAAGAGCCCCTGTTTATTTATTTATTTTTTTTAAGATTTTATTTATTTATTTGACAGAGAGAGACAGCGAGAGAGGGAACACAAGCAGGGGGAGTGGGAGAGGGAGAAGCAGGCTTCCCGCGGAGCAGGGAGCCCGATGCGGGGCTCGATCCCAGGACCCTGGGATCATGACCTGAGCCAAAGGCAGACCCTTCACCGACTGAGCCACCCAGGTGCCCTTAAGAGCCCCTGTTTAAACTGGCTCTTTCGACCAAGCTGCCTGGGCAGCTGCCACAAGTGTTGTGACGTGTGTCTTGCAGGTGGGAAAAGTGAGGTTGGGAGAGAGGCTCCTCCAGGCCGCTCTGAGTGCCTCCTTGCCCAGGTTCCCGTCTCCTTTGATATCCGTTTTTGCAGATGTGCCCTTAGAAGTGCAAAATCAACACGAGAAATACCCCTTCCATCAGTATCTGTGCGTCAGTGCAGAGCTGTAATTCCTGTCATTCTGGCTTTTGTGACGATGTTTGGCTTCTAACGCAGCAGTGCCTGGCAGAGCCCAGCTGCATCCCTTGCCAGCAAGTTTCTCTCCTGGTGTCAGAGAGGAGAATAGGATCTCAACAACCCGCTTGCTGCCTCGAATTTTTGGTTTTCTCATCAGAACCCCCCTGCCCCCCACCACGCTGGCTCCCCCAGGCCAGATGCAGCCAGCAGCACGTCAGATGTGGGAGCAGCCAGGTGGCCGTGACCACGGCAGGCAGACCTCCGCATCTCGGCCGCTGGTGGTCCTCCGATCTTGGCCTGAGATGCTCCGCACCGAACCGCGGGCCTTTGCTTGGCCAGCCACACGCCACAGGCCTCGGTCCAGGGCAGGTGAATGATGTCGTGAGGAAGGAGACACGCACGAAAGGGCATCAAGCCCATGCTTTACGTAACAGCCCCAGTTTCCAGTGTCCAAGTGTGACGTGTGAAATGGAAGTCCCTACGTGGCCTTGAATGTGGAATGCCTCAGTCACTGCATCAAAAACCAATCCCAACTGCCTGGGGCGGGGAGAGAAAACAGTCCTGCAGCTCCTCCAGGGCCCTGGACCGCGAGTGCCTGCTGGCCACTTGGGCTTCCCCGGGACAGGACAGAGTGTAATAGCTTCAAAGAAAAGCGAGAGTGGTGTTTGTTCTCACACCATTTGCCGCCTCTGAGCAAATGCACTTCTTCGCAGCTCCGCCTGCCCATAGGCTGCTGTGCGATGGATGATGGATGGCCCCCCGCTCCCAGAGGCCGGGGTGATGATACATGGGGGTTACCTCCCTGCACACCCAAAACGTTCAGACCATTCCTACCCCCAGCTCCAGGGCTTGTGCCAAAATAGGTGTGCACCTTCCTTGAGTTTGCAGGTGTTCGCTTATTAAGCGGGGATGGTCCCCCACCACCTGCTCAGAAAAAAGATGTCTTTCATTTCATTTTGTTGTTAGCTTTTTCCTTTGTGCTCTTGCTGGTGTGACCCCAGGCACCTCCTGGTAGCTGCTGTGTGGTCTCCGAGGCTACAACCTCCCCCCGAAAACATTCGTATTTCACAAGGGAAGAGCCTTATCTACTTCTCCGTTTCCCCACCTCACTTAAGAAAATTCCAGCGTTTGGGGAGTCTGGGTGGCTCAGTCGGTGAAGCATCTGCCTTCTGCTCAGGTCATGACCCCAGGATCCTGGGATCGAATCCAACATCGGGCTCCTTGCTCAGCGGGAAGCCTGCTTCTCCCTCGCCCTCTCCCCCTCACTCGTGCTTTCTCTCTCTCTTAAATAAATAAATAAAATCTTAAAAAAAGAAAGAAAAAGAAAATTCTAATATTTGACTAGCTGTCAGGGCAAAATATTTGGCCAGAAGGCATAAGAAGCTGCCTGAGAGGGCGCCTGGGTGGCTCAGTTGGTTAAGCGACTGCCTTCGGCTCAGGTCATGATCCTGGAGTCCCGGGATCGAGTCCCGCATCGGGCTCCCTGCTCAGCGGGGGGTCTGCTTCTCCCTCTGACCCATTCCCATCTCTCATTCTCTCTCTCAAATAAATAAATAAAATCTTAAAAGAAAAAAAAAAAAAGAAGCTGCCTGAGGCCGATGTTTGAAAACAATGGTGATTAGAGGGGCACGGGGCAGGTCTGCAAGGGAGCCTCACCGGAGGGCCCCTCTCATGCCCCCTCTCTGCCTCCTCGGGGACTCTCCTACCTCAGTGGTTCTCCCCCAGGGACAGTTCTGCCCCCAGGGGACATCGCCAGCGGTGATGTTTCTGGTTGTCACCCTTGGGAGGGGGGGAGAAGCTACGGGCATTGCGTGGGCAGAGGCCAGGGATGGTGCCACACCCAACACGACACAACACAGCCCCCCACTCCGCCCCACGAAGAATGATCCAGCCCAAATGTTAGTTGTGCCCAAGTTGGGAAACCCTGACAACATCAAGTCAGTCACTCCCACTCTCATACAGCATTCCAAGGAATCTGTGGAGTAGACACACACATCTGGAGATCCAGCCCAGACTTCCCTGAATCCAGACGCCCTGGGGACCCTCCCACCCTGCTTCCCAATCTCTCCCTGGGTTGCCGCTTGAACCTAAATGACCTCAAGTTTCCCTCAAAAATGCACCCCTCTTCATCTCGACATCCCCACTGCTGTATCATTTGCCCCACTTTAGGGCTGGCCCAACCGGGAAAAAGCCTGGTTTTCTTTCTAAGGGCCTCCCTAGTTTGTAATAGCAAATGGATTATTTCCTCAATACAAGTCTACTCAGGGTGTGACTCAGAGAGCTGCTTTTGTCTGGTCATGAGATGGAGGAGGAAACATTGTGGGGAAATCCCAAATCCTTGGCTACCCCAACTTCCCAAAGTGAGCCTTTCCCCTGGTGTCACTGAAGGGCTCTGGCAGCCTTCTACCTGTGACAAATGAACGAAAAAGACAGATGTGTAAAAACCAGGTCCTTTTCGTGGGACAACAGAAATGCTTTACGAGATCCTTTTAGGGCATCCAGGAATCATTTACTCATCTTTTGCTCGATGCAAGGAGTAGTCTCCTTCTATTCAGAAGAAAGTCACCTTTGTATAAAACAGGCTCAGGCGGAACCCTTGGCAGGGAGAAGAGAGCAGTGAGATCATTCCCGGGCACGGCTTCTAGGGATTGATGATATCCTCAGAAATAGCCACAATCCGGGTCACAGCAGTGCCCGACGGCGGCCTCCCTCCCACCCCGAAGCAGCTCAGGTGGTAGGGACAAGTTTCCAGGCTCCGGGGCCCTGGCTCTCCGCAGGAAGCCGGTTGTGTATTTGCACTGGAGGTGAGGACTTGGAGGTGAGGACTTGGTGCTGGTGCCCTGGGCTCTCGTGGGTTAATGTTTCTTCGGAGCAGATGCAGGTACACCTCAAATCTGCTACGTGTTGCCTTGTGAAAACAAAGAGACATCTCTTGGCACATCACATTTACCCCGGCTTTCTAGCACTCCCGGTGCCATGGGAGTGATTCACCAAAAACAGAGGGTGTCTGTGCTACGCTGAGGATCTATGTTCACCTCGGGGCTCCGGTCTCGTGGGAGTCCGGGCAGCCTGCATCCTTGTTCTCAGAAACCATGGTCTCAGAGAGCACCTTCTTCCTCAGCCTGATCCTTTAAAGGTGCTTGACTGCTCTAGGGACCTCCTATTGGACGGTGAGCATCACTCCTGGAGTCGGAACTGCAGATCCTTTGTCAGAATCTGTGGGTGCCCTGAGAGGCCTGGGCTGCCCCGGCTCACAGCTACCATTTACCGAGTGTTGACTCTTGCGAGGGGTTCACTTGTGCCATCTCATTGAATCCTCCCAGGGATCCAGTGTTCATTTTACAAGAAACTCCACTTCAGCACACCTGGGTCATGGAGACCAGCTAAGGATAAGAGACCAGACCCTCTCCCGCCCCCCTGCATCCATCAAGCCTTTGCAAGTAAGAGACTTACCAGTTTGATTTTGCAAGGACATTGCTATTTGAAACTCTAGACCTCCCAGTGGGAAAGTGACACCAGGGAAGTGGGTGTGGCTGGTGGGGGCGGGGGGAGGAGAGGGGAGCGGGTAGTAAACAACCCAGGATCCGGAGGGGAGGGGGGGGGAGCTGTGTGCTAGGAGAAACCCCACCAGCTGTGACAGCGACTCTGCTTCTATTTCCCCAAGGAAAGCTGAAATCTAGGATTTGGTTTAGTGGGTTTTTCTTTTTTTAATGGGAAATCCTCTAGTTTTACCTGCTGGCAGTTGATTAAAAAACAAACAAAACAAAACTTGTTTAATACCCTGCAGGTGAAGTAGGACGTTTGTGGGCTGGTTTGCAGTTTATGGAGTAGGCTTTCTGCTAGATACAAACATTCACACGTAGAATAAAATGGGACCCTTCTTTTTCGTGACATATACTCTTTATTAGATGCGTTAAAATTTTAAAAATTCAGAACAAAGTTCTAAAAATATACTTGCTTTGGTATTTTTATCACTGCATTTATTTTTCATATTAAGCTCACCTTCTATCCATGTGACAGTTTCCACAGTGCACTGAGAGGGAGGATATTATCCTGTCGGCTGTTCACAGGGCAGGGGTAACGCAGGCGCCATCCCTTCCACAGGTGCTCACGAGGACACTGAGGCCGAGAGAAGCCCAGTGACTAATTGCAAGCCCATGACCGTGAGGTGGCAGCCTAAAGCCCAGCCAGGGCTTTCCGCCTCTGACAGCGCTGCTCATTCAGGAAGCCGTGAATTTTAGTTTTCTCCCCCAGTGCTTCTCTACCAGTAACCACTCTTCACTCCAGCCATGTAAGTTTTTTTTCCAAGTCAGCTCTAGTCTAGTTAAGCAGGAGAGAAGCCATAAATGCTCCTTGAAGCTAGCACTTAGCTTTTCCTTTAAGGGGCCAAGAAGGCAGAAAGTGATGTCTCTTTACCTGAGCTTGGGGGACCTAAGAGTGAGTGGAAGGAGAAGCCTGAACGCCCTATGATTGTTTGCAACACTGGGGCATGTTTGGGACAGGGGGCCTGTGGCTTTTTCCAGATGGTGCCCAACTTTCTCGGAGGGAGCAAGGTCCACACAGGTCTGACTCCAACACTTGATCTTTATCCATACTGACACATAACTTAGGCAACCATCCTAGATCTGCAGACTGATTTCTCCCTGATACCTTTGTTCTATCAGGACAACGACATAACTCAGGCCATTTTGCATTGGGCACAGGTCACCACCAACTAATTTGCTATAATCCCTTGCTTACCTTTTTGTTGTTGTTGTTCAAAGATTTTATTTATTTATTTGAGAGAGAATGAGATAGAGAGAGAGCACATGAGAGGGGGGAGGGTCAGAGGGAGAAGCAGACTCCCCGCCGAGCAGAGAGCCCGATGCGGGACTCGATCCCGGGACTCCAGGATCACGACCTGAGCCGAAGGCAGTCGCTTAACCAACTGAGCCACCCAGGCGCCCCATATAATCCCTTGCTTATCAATGCCTTATTACCAGGGACTGAGCTGAGTTCCTGTAGGACAGGCCTCCATAGTTGTTAAACATTTTCAGCCCTTGGACTTTAATTGGTTTCTTCCTCTTTTTTTTAAGATATATTTATTTGAGAGAGCGCACACGTGGGATTGGGGTGGGGTAGGAGGGTCAGAGGCAGGGAGAGAGAATCTCAAGCAGATTCCACTCTGAGCTCTGAGCCAGGCGTGGGGCTTGATCACATGACCCTGAGATCACAACCTGAGCCGAAACCGAGAGTTAGACACTTAACCAACTGAGCCACCTGGGTGCCCCCCTATTTGGCTTCTTCTTAAAAGGCCTAAGCCCTTTTATCCTGTAATGAATGTTGCAAAACACTTTTGAACAAAACATAATCTTTTTCTGAGGTAGTAATTACCTCATGCTATCAATTACATGTTAATAATATGTAGAAAGAATAAAGTGAAGTGGGCATCTCTTCTGTTAAGAAGGTTTTCCAGGTAATGTGAGAACCTTTCCATATAAGGTACTTCTCACTAGATGGTGTAAAGAGCATCCCGGGCCTAGAGGCCCACGCATTTCACCACCTCTACAACTGTTTGTAAGAGACGATGCGTGGAGAAATTCTATTATTGGGGAACTCCAAAAGATGACATCAAGGGGAACCACAGTACACATATGGAGTCAGATGGCCTGGTATGGGATATCCAGCCTTGTACCAGCTCACGGAGTGACAGAAGACAAATCGTCCTCCCCCTCCAGGCCCTGAGCAGGAGCCTCAACTCTCAGACAAAATGGCCTTTGGGGGCAAGAAGGTCCAAGTGAAAAGGGCAAAGAAGAATAACATCTACTAGGAACCCAACGTGTTGCCAGGCTGCATCTGTGGTATTATTACACGAAGTCTCTCATTTAATCCTCACAGTGGGACATGTGGATCCACACCCACGGCCACGTGACCAGTAGGTGGCATGGCCAGAATCCAAAACTGGGTCTGGCGGCCCCTAAAGTTGAGCTCCTTCCACAACACAGTTCAGTGCTTCTCAAACTCTGCTGGTGAAGCATCTTCAGCAAGAGAAAAGACTAATAATACCTTCGATTCAATTGTTCAGAACACCCACAACAAAGTACCACAAACAGGGTGGCTTGGGCAACAGAAATTGATCGTCTCACGGTTCTGGGGGCCAGAAGTCTGAAACCGACAGTCGGCAGGGGCAGCGTTGGCTCCTTCTGAGGCTGTGAGGAAGACTCTATTTCAGTCCTCTTCCCCAACTTCTGGGGGTTTGCTGCCAGTCTTTGGCATTCCTTGGCTTGTAGACACATCACCCCCATCTTTGCCTCCATCTTCACGTGACATTCTCCCTGGGTCCATGTCTATGTGCAAATTGTCCCTTTTTCAAAGGACCTACCCTACTCCAGTACTACCTCCTCTAAACTAATTACCTCTGCAATGACCCTCTTTCCAAAATTAGTTCACATTCTGAGGGACTAGTGTTTAGGACTTCAAGATATTTGGAGGGCCACAACTCAATCCGTAACACTACCCACTTCAGGAGTCTGATGTCTTTGAAATGTTGTGCATTATCGTTAAAATTCAGGCAAATTGAGTGCTCCACTCCATTGTTACCTCACTATTTAATATAAAAACATTTTCCAAAAGCCTGTGAGTAAAATTAGTGATCCACAAAGCTGCTCCATATTGATCCTAGGAATCCGAAACCCCATTGCCAGGCCCCTATCCCACACTTGTTCGTGTCCTTCAAGGAGGCTCATAGCAAGTGTGAAAGCCCCAAGAAGCAGAGACGCTTGTAAGGAGGCAAAGGCATATTTAACCTAAACAAGCATGAAGAATATTGACTTAGACAGGGCTGAATAAGAAACCACGCAAATAAATACACAAGGAAAATATGGACCATCCCTGACCAGAATCAACGATGAACCAGCCCAGTGTGGAAACGCTTTGCGGAGAGCCCTGTTGGAAGTGCACATCTGTTTCTCATTCCTTTTTAAAGGAAATCAGCGTCATATAAGCACTGTTCATCCTGTTTCCCCAGCACAATGGCTTTTGAAGAACATGCTTTTGAAGTTCAGGTACCGTGGTGTTTAGGGACAAAGATGACGGTTGTGGCAGTAATAGGCTTCATAACACACTGATCAGATTCATATTTTTCTATTACAGTAAATGCGCCTCAAGTAATAGAACTTACCAGCAACACTAACCACGGCCATACTGTTCTTTTATTTGCAAAGAAATAACATTTTCAAAAGTGACAAAGGACTCTGACAAAGGCCCAGCAGCGGGAGTGAGAATGACTCAGGGGCAGAAAGGCCTTCTCGGTGTGGCTAGCTAGCTTCTTGCCTGGAAAGTGGGTTGAGCCAATGCTTGTCCACACCCAGAGGGCCCGCTGCCAGCCCCGCAGGGCTGCACTCCTGTCCGGCCCCAAGCCAGAGAGAACCTCTGACGGTCAGGGCTCAAAGGGCAGCCCCAGGAACCTCGACAGCATGGAAAAAGAGGCAGCCTTCTGCTTCCATCACTTGAAAACACGGAGGCCACCCTGTTCCTGTCTCTCTATTAGGAGAAATATAAACTCTACAAAAGCATTCACTGTCCGCTTCGAAGAAATGTCAGTCAAAGTGAGACGCCAGTCAAGGAGAGGACATCTCCGCAGAAGGGGTAGTCCACAGGGTCCGGCCAGCAGACAAGCCTGGAGAACACACCTAACCTGGGTTATTGCTCAGGGCAGCTGTGAAGCTGCAGCTCCATTCAGGAGAAATCCCTTCCCATCCCTGGGTTCTAGAAGCTATGCTCAGCAAGCACAGAATGCCAAGGGGCACGCCTGGGAGACTCCATGTTAGCCAATGTGGGTGACCCAACCCTTGGGTAAATCATGTGAGGACAGAAGAGGGTGGTCCACAAGGGAGGGAGGGCCAGGAGATCTGAAGAGCCGGAGCCCGCTGGGGCCCTGAGCCCCCTTCAGCAAGAAAGCAGCGCTCCCGGGCCAGCAGTGACAGTTCCCGTCTCTCAGGAGATGAGCTCGTCTCGGAAGCAAGACGATTTCATCAGGTTTTTCCACAGCCCAGAGAGAATATCTCATGAGGCTGCCCCACTCCCTCTGTCCTAATTCCTCATCTGCGAGAGCTATTGCAGTTTCCTGGTCATCCTGATAACGGGAGGCAACGCTGGAAAGGTGTCCACTGGGGACAGGCAACTGGCGCTGGGCCTCAGGACACCGACATTGAAATGAAGCAGAAACTGTAAATGATTTCTAAAGGTTGTGCTGTCTTTCAGTTCTCTCCTCTCAGATCCCAGCCTGCCTGCCCTCTCCCCAACCAGCCCGCAAGGTTCATCTCCCTGGCAGCTGAGGCCGACAGAAGGAGCCAGACGCCCTGCCAGGGCCCAGAGCCCACTGGCCCGGGGGCCCTGTGTGCACTCTGGACCCCATTTCATGCTGCCCACCCTGCATTCCCCACCCTGGTGAGAGCTCCGGGAAGATGCACAATTTTAAAGCAATAGCGTCTTCGGGTTTGTAAGCCTAGTTTCTGGTGAGTTCAGTTTGTGTGAATTATTGCCCCAACGGCTTATGAATTGCCAGGGAAGAGATAAAAATCTAGTGCCCGGATGGGCAAGGTAGAGGAGCAGGTCCCCAAGCACAGCGCCCCCACCCCTGGGCTCTGGGACAGCAGGTGGCCTTGCCGTGCACCTCTGACTGGCTGCCCCTCCTAACAGTTTCTCTTGTGCCCCTGAGAGTTTTCTGAAAGCCGTTGGAATTTCCAAAACAAGATGGGACAGAAAGCAGGACCCAGCCCAGTGATAATGGTGAAAAATAATGGCCCCTAAGGGGGAAAAGGGGGCAAAGTGGTGAAGTTCTGTATAATGTAAATGCATTTTGGGAAACGCCCGAAAATGACTAGGGCAGAACACCATGCTGGTTACGTTAAAAAAAAAACCCAAAAAACTAAAAAACAAGGAGCACCTGGGTGGCTCAGTTGGTTAAGCTTCTGCCTTCAGCTCAGGTCATGATCCCAGGGTCCTGGGATTGAGCCCCACGTCAGGCTCCCCGCTCACTGGGGAGTCCGCTTCTCCCTGTCTCTCTGAAGCTCCCCCTGCTTGTGCTGTCTATCTCTTAAATAAATAATTTCTTTTAAAAAGAAGAAAACAAAAACAAAGCAAAACCTCCAAAGAGGAAGAACTCTTGGTTATGATGCTCATTCCCTTCCCTCCAGTCCTCATCCCTCAGGGTACTGCCTCCTAACCAGGCAATTAATACGTGGTTGGGGCAATAACTCACACAAACTGAACTCACCAGAAACTAGACTTACAAACCAAATGATACTATTTGCTCCGCTCCCCAGGGGGACATTCGACAAGGCTGGAGACATTTCAGTTGCTGCGCTAGGGGATGCCAGTCGGGCATCTAAAGGGTGATGAGGCCCCCGCCAACCATCCCACAACACCCGCAGCAGCCCCCACGGCCAAGCTGTCAAGCCCAAAGTATCAGAGCACCCCTGTTGAGAAACCGTAGAGAAAGATTCTCTGATCTCTCACCAACTCGCTGGCAGCCACACCAGACAAAGTGTATGTGGGCGATTCATGACGAGGGAAGGCTCAGTAGTGGCTGCGAACATGCACCAATTCCTGGACTGTTAAACATGAGTTCTCGGCGGATGGGCGAGGGGCTCTAGTGAGTGAGCCCCCTTCCCCGACCACCATCTTCTGAAGTCCATTAAGAGGCTAGCCACTCGTGGTGTTGCTCTCGAGTTAGAGGCCGAGGGGGTTCCATGGGCCCCGGGTCCTCCTAGAGCTTACTGATTGAGATGGAGAGCAAGGGCAGGCCAGCCAGGGAAAGACGAGACGGACAAATAACAAAACTGAAATGCAGGCCACGCCGATTGCACAAGCCAAGCCGGAGGCTGAGTCCATTGCTGAGAAACGCGGAGGGGAGGACTTACTCACAGGTAAGTATGGTGGCATCCTAGGAAGGTAAGCGAAGGCCTCCGTCCCCCGCCCCGCACGTTCCCTGCAACACGCGCCGTGCCCTGCGCCCCCGGGGCAGGCCTTCACGGAGGGCACCGGCCCCGCGCTCCAAACACGCGCGGTCACGTCGGACCGAGGACTCACGCGCTAATAAGCAAAAGACGGAAAGGTCCTATGGGGAGGTACCGCAAGCACAGGTCACGGTGTTCCTCGGCAGGAGCGCTGCCTGCACGTGCTAGAACTTGCACGTGACCTGGGCCTTGGAGCCTGGGCGCTGCCGGGGGAGCTGAGCTTGCCCGAGCCCAGCCCCCGGCGGCCGGGGGGGGGGAGGGGTTGTTGGTCGTCCTGCTGCCAAGAATCTCTGCAAAGGGGCTTCTGGCTTAAAGGATTTTGTCCTGGCTTGTGTTTTGGTCACTCAACAGAACCTTCCGTGCTCCGTTTTTCTGCCCCCTCTTTCCCAGCAGTAAGGCCATACCTATGCTTACTAGGACTCACGGACCGTGGGAAGCCCTGCGGAGCTTCCTGGCGAACCGATCAACGTCGGTGCTGCTGGTGGTTATAACTCACAGGCTACCAGGTGTTGCTTCCTTTCCCGTGCCTCTGCCTCACTCAGAAACAGCAACTCAGAAACCTACCCAGACGACAAGTCACATGCTTTGAAGAGGTACTAATATTCGGCAGCCTAAACATTTCCCAGGACCAAATCTTTACCAGCGCTGCTAACGAGTAGTCAGATGGACTGCCCTGTGAGCTTTCTCCTCTGACAATGAACTCACAGAAAGGTCAGCCGCCGGACACAGAAAGAGGAGAAGGGTCCTGAATACACACAGACAGTTTAATCACCCGTGAAGAAATCCAAGAGTTGACTGAAAGTGCTTTGTCAGGGAGAGAAGGGAGGCCCCTGCCCTCAGAGAAAGGCCAGGAAGGCTGGAGGTCGCTCTGGCTGCCCAGACGGTGGCTGACCGCAGAGGCCGCCATGGACACACCAAGGGCCTGCTGGGGATGGTGGTGCGGAGATTCAAAAACAGGAGGGCAGAGAGAGCCGGCACTTTCCAAAGGGCCTGGCAAACAAATGTTCCCTAGAAAGAAGACGAAAATTGAGCTTAATAGGAAGGGAAGACATTGTTTTTAAAACCACCACAATTACTTAAGAGTTGGTTAGTCCTTCAAGCTTCTGTCCATCAGGTCTGTCATTTGATTCCAGACTCCTCAGAGCATTTGAAAGACTGGTTTATTCAGATTTCATCAATGTCCCTTAGTTGCATTTAAAAAATCAAGGTCAAGCTATGTTGATATGCGAAAGGGAATTTAGATGAATGAGGGCTGGCTCACAGGCTCTGGCCCTGTAATTACTTTCTTTGTAAGCCTGAATACCCAATCAGATGGATGCCTTCTCAACACTTTTTGTCATATTTATGGAACACCTTTAAACAATGAAATCTGGAAACTCCAGCAACATCTGTATCCAAATATATCCAATCCTGTTTATGTTTTTAATTGGAAATCAAACAATTTTAGATGAACTCATCTATGCTATCATTGCAAATGCATATTTTTCGGTAATTCTTGAGAGCATTTTGCAAACCATTAAAGTAACAACATCATGCTTTATCTTTAAAAGGTATTTCTCAGCTGTGATTACTATTGGAATGAAATCCGGGGTGGCATTCAAAAAAGACTGCAGTATAAAAAGGTTTGCATAAGAATTCTGATTCCATTAGAAAACCATTCCTTAGGCCAGTTCTTCCATTCCCCACTGGCTCATGTAATATGGTTGGTTTTTTCTCATTCCAGTTGAAGATGCAATTCATTAAAGAGTCTTTAACTTAATTAAAGCAAAGCTTTCTGTTAAGGTTATCAAGCATTGATGGGCTTCTAATCGGACATTCTCTGCGGGCTGGAGAATGCCACTTTCAAACCCTCTGATTTTGTATGAAGCCACTCGCCTTTCTACACAAAGACTTTCATTTCTGTAGTCTGGCCTAGTAAAATGTTAATTCCTTTACGCTCAGCTTGGTTATTTTAGGCCCAGATCTATGGGCCCAGTAATTTCAGTAAGAGGATGATGTGTACAGAAGGAAAGGTGTGCTGTTTTCATTTAATCCTTGGTGATTAGAAAATACTTAAACCAATGAAGAATTCCCATCACCTGGAGTTTCTTAGGAGGAAATGACTTTGCAAGACATGTGGGAATTGTCAAAAAAAGAGTTTTCCCTTGAAATGATGTGTTGGTACACAAGAGAAGTGCTGGGCAGGATAGCAAGAGGAAGTGGTAACCCGGCCCGTGAGGAAATGAGTAGATGTTCTGAAGGTTAGATGAACAGGAGACCAGTGCACATTTTCCTCATTTACCTTCTCATTTTAGAAAGTGGCGGAATTGATTACATCTTAGATGTACAAGTACATCTTGATTGTTCCGGATAATAAAGGATACATGAGACATGAATAGAAAAACCACCAACGGTGAGTAAAATAAGAAAACCAGGGATCACTTTTTTTTCCCCCTGTTTATTAACATTCACACCAAACTGTATACTTTGGTTACCATGGTCGTGTGGTATCTGATGTCACAAGCCACAGCATATAAAATCGCAGAGGCCACGACAGGCAGGAAGAGAGGCCTGGCCTTGTTGTCTGAGTAATACAAACAGCCCAGTGTGCTGGATGTGAGCCTGGATACTGCCGCCTGCTGAGCCCAGCTCTGGAGCCCACGGGCCACCACCGCACTTCTTCCCCTGCCTCTGCCTGCCCCCTAGTGGACAAGCTTGGGAAAGCGCGGGATTCAGCCCGGGAGCGGGGGGTGGGGGAGCAGCTTTGTGGGGACTGAAATATGGCTCCCTGAGAGCGTGCCTCCCCCAACCCTCCTCCCAAGCGCTGTCTGTGGATTTCCTGGAGAATCAGAGCTCGGCCTGGATGCCCTGGGGTCTCCCTGGGATGGACACGTCCACTTCCTGTGTCATTTTCCTGGGGCCTTTGTCTATCTCTGCCCGCCCCGATCCCTAACTTGCAGTCGTCTTCCCTTGTGCAGTCTCCACAGGAGACTAATGATTCCTTCTTTGGGTCCAGCCAACTGTAGAGAACCAACAGGGTGCTGTACTATCAAACATGTTCCCCCTATGGGAGCCTCTTGTGCCTCCTGTATGTCCAGAGAGGCATTCATTTATTTGTCAGAAACCTGCTAGATGCCCAGCCCTGGAGACATGGAAGAAACTAGGCCAAGGTTCCCACCTGGAAGAGCTCACAGCCCAGGGAAGGGACAGCTCATCCATCGATGGCCACGTGATCAGGTCTGTACCACCAGGAAGGTGTAAGCGCTGTGCCGTGGGAGCAAAGGTGGTAGCGGAAGAGGCATTTGAATTTGTCACGGGTGCTCGCCACAGCAGGGTTAGTCCAGCAACTGCTTTGTTCAAATGACTCAGGAAAATAAATGAGGCTGGCACAGACCGTCCTGATACCACACACCTCTAGAGTACCCTGGCTACGCTGGGTATTCTCACCTCGGCCCCAGTCACAGTGTCCACAGAGGCAGACGTGGCCGGGAGCTGCCTTAGATGATGCACTGCATGATTTTCCCACTGTGGCAGCCCTTGGCTCCTGCCCACACTCTGCTCTGCTTTGCTCACTTCAAGCCTTCCTTAACTTTTCTGAAGCTCCCCGCTGTCCACGTTGCTGATTCACAGATACGGAAGACCTAGAAAGAAAAAAAAGATAATTATCTCAAATGACTCAGGAGCCCTCCTGGACTCTGTGATCTCTGTGTAAACTTTCACTTGAAAAGCCTGAGGGTAATAATATTGTCATCTGTGTAGGCAAAGCTGGAAGGAAACAGATGAATGTTCTAAACTCCTGCCTCTTGGCAGAAATTAGTGTAGAGAAGACAGACTCTCAGCCCTCGCCTGACAGCTGAGGTGAAGGCCTCTCATCCAGAGGTGAAGGTACCTGTAAAGAGTCCCAGAAGATGACAAGTTCCTGGGGTGAGGGCATCACCTTGCTCCTCTTTCTCTCTGTCTCAGTTTCTGTTTCTGTCTCTGTCTCTCTCTCCCTCTGAGGCAGTAAATGTTTATGGGAAGAATGGCTGCCACCCTGAGTCCTGTCAGGCTACCTGGGAAAGGAACAGGGGTTGGGAAATGAAACCACTGGCAGGCCTTAGACTTGTCGGCTGAAGATTCATGAACAAACAAGGGGAAGTGACCTACCTGCTACAAAATTGCTAAGAGAGATGACACTCGAGGAGGGGTGGGAATCCCCGAAGGGAAAGGAGAGGAGAATGGATTATGCTCCATTGTAGGCTGCCTGACAAGTTGTCCACACTCAGAGGAAAGCACATGCCCCTCCGTGGGGCAGGAACACCAGCAGCGGCAGCCAGAGCAATGTGGGCACTGCGCCCCCGCGGGGAGGGGTGAGGCTGAGTCAGCAGCAGGCGGTGCCCGGGATAAGGACTGCAGGGCAGTGCTGGGCGAGAGCGGGCAAACACTGGCACCCCTGAGAAAGGGGGCCGGGGGGTTCTCTGCCCAAGTCAGCCCTTCGCCCTGGCACAAGGCCCCAGGGGGGCAGAGCTGATGTGGCTGGAGAGTGTGGAGGAGGTGGGAAGGCAGAGCCAAAGAGCTCTGGGGACAGACCTGAAATCTGCGGCTTTCCCTGAGGCTGTTGGGGCCTGGAGGAAGGGAAGCGACACACAACTATAAATGCTGTGCATTCTGCAAACTTTATAATTAGTCTAAAGACATTCCACCATCCTGTTTTAGGATGGTGTACGTTCAGATTCTCCTCCCGTCCCCCAGTTTAGGTTCCATGAAATCCTATTCTCCTCGCATTTCCCCCCATGGACCCTCAAGAGCACTCGTAATTCCTTCCTTCTCTCAATACATACTAACTGAAGGCCCGCCCTTTTCCGGGTCAGGCTAGGTACCAAGAATATGATGTCAGCGAAAACAGACACAGCCCTGCCTTCATGGCACTTCCACGGTAGAAAAGGAGAGACCTTGATCAAATACCCACACAAGTTAATGTGACACTGCAGTGCGTGGAGCTCTGAGGCTATAATAAGGGGTTTGGTTTAATCAGAGATGTCAGGGAACTCTCTGAGGAAGCGATGAGTGAAATAAAATCTGAAGGAACAATGGGATTAACCAGGCCAGCTGGTCCTGAGCCTCTCTGTGGAGGGACGCTGTCTGTGTCTTCTCGGCCATGGAGAGACTCAAGTGTGACCAGAGCACAGACAACAAGGCAGGCAGGAGTCATGACAAGGCTGGCCTTGAGACGTGGCCTGGGGAGCCACTGAAGGGTTTAAGCAGGTGGGCCATGTGATCAAACAGGCATTGCAGAAGGATTGTCCCAGCTGCCCTGCAGAGAAGAGCATGGAAAAGGCCACAAGTGGATGTCCATGAGACCAGTTAGGAAGCCGTTACAGGTGAGTTCGAGGCCAGGAGGAGACCAATCCTATTTAGGATGCACAATTGTCAAAACATGGTGATGGAATAGATAGACTTACAATGTACTCTACGCCTGTGCGATCTTCCAACAACCTCCCCTGCAATAAGCCCTCTCTTCGTGGCTAGATGACTATCTGAGACACAAATACAACATTCTCTTTGTCAGGTTTGTCCTTAGGGATGCCTTCATGATTCCTCGCTAGTTTTCTCTAAAAATGAAGTGAGGGAAGGTCCATGATGCCTGGAACATCTCAATTCAAAGGTCACGAGGTGAAATGATGATAACAACTCAGATTAGAGGACTGTCAACTTCCAAGCTCCCCTGACCTTAGAGGAAGGGCTGAAGGGTTGGGACGAGACCAAGAGAGCTTAACAACACCAAGGGCATCTGTAGCGTTAGATGGGCTGATCGAGTGCTTGAAATTCATGTATTGTCCAATTAATCGAAGAATTCTTCTACTACACACTTAGGGGATGCTTTCCTAAGATTCCTGCATCAGCTGGGAATGCACCTAGCTACCAGATGCCCTCCTGCTAGGATCCTTGCTTCTACAACACAGCCATGGATCCATCTCAGGAATGGTATTTTATCTCTGTGCTGGGCTAGGCATCAGAGACTGGAAGATGAAGAAAAGTGTCCTGCCCTCCAGGAGTTGCAGCCTCGCAGGTCCATCAATCAGGACAGGACGGTGTGGTGTGTGACAGCATGGGCAAGGGATAGGAGCTCTGCCCGGAGGAATCAGGGAGGTTTTCCAGAGGGCACATCTAAGCCAGATGTCAAGGGGTGAGCAGGAATTTATCTGGAGAAGCGGAGACTGGTTGTTTCAGGCAGAAAAAAATAGCTTATACAGAGACAGCTAAGAATGAGGTGTGACCAAAAAGTGACGGCCCAGGGGTGATAGTAGGGCTGTAGCAAGAGGTGAGACTGGAGACCGCACTGGTGGGTCACACGGGCTCTGAACTACCTGCTTTGGACGTTAGTGTTAGCATTTCTATTGCTGCATAACAAATTACCCCAAAACTTAGGTGTTTAAAACAACAAACATTGGGGCGCCTGGCTCAGTGGGTTAAGCGTCTGCCTTCGGGTCAGGTCATGATCCCAGGGTCCTGGGATCAAGTCTTGCATCGGGCTCCTTGCTCAGCAGGGAGCCTGTTTCTCCCTCTGCCTCCCTGCCCCCCTGCCTGTGCTCTCTCCCCCCTCACCAAGTAAATAAATAAAATCTTTAAAATAAATAAATAAAACAACGAACATGTATTATCTCACTATTTCTGTGGGTTAGGAATCCCGGCATAGCTTAGTGGTCCTCTGACTCAAGGTCTCACAGGCTGCAATCAAAGTTCAGCTGAGGGAGGGTCACCTTCCAGGCTCACTCACGTGGCTGTCGGCCAATCTCAGGTCCTTGCTGGCTTCTTGCTGAAGACATCAGTTCCTTGCCACATGGGCCTCTCCATAGGGCAGCTCAGAACATGTCAGTTGGCAGAGAGAGAGAGATGGAAGGAGAGAGGTTGAGAGAAAGACATAGTCTTTTTTAAGCCTAATCTCAGAAGGGACATCCCATCACTTTTTTAATTCTATTTGTTTAAAGAGTCACCAGATCCAACCCACATGCCCACAAGTGAGGGGGGTTACACAGAGTGTGAATACTAGCAGGTAATGATCTCTGGGGTCATTTTAGAGGCCACCTACCACACAGAGGAGAGCTATTTAAGACACGATTCCAGCATCATCCCATTCTGCATAAATTATATAGAGAGACATATAATTTCACTGCATATTAGTTTGTTTTTGTTGATGGGTACACTCTGGTCCCTAGGAGCCCTGAAGAACAATGTGCTTCATTTCACATCTCTCTCTAAGGATTTTATACAACCTACTTGGCACTCACGCTGTTATTATTAGATGGATTCAGCCAAAAGCTGCCTGTGTGGGTAGAGATAGGTGGGAAGGTAGGGAGGCAGAGAAAGGAAGTGATCAGGACCCCAAATTGAATCAAGAAAAAGGTCACACGCCAACTGAAAATTAGAAATGAATCTGAGTGGAACTAAGTATCGTGGTTGACAGCTCATACACGACAGCTCATACACGCGATGCCAACTTGCCACAGCTTGGCAGCGGACCTTGGTTTTCCCATATGCAACTGAAAATAACTAACATTCATCCTGGGGGAGTGCCGCTAAAATAAGTAATACTGGGAGCTATACCTCACTGCTTATTCAAGCTGGAAGCAGTCTGCAATTACTTAGCTGAAATTAGACACAAATTAAGTTGCCACTTCCGGAACCCTTTCTCCTGTACTATATTACAAAATAGAAACTGATTTTTGAACTCTGACAGTTTCAATTTTGTTTCTTTTCTTGCAAATAAATGTGCTATCCCATAGAATATCCACAATGGCAGATTATTGACACTAACCTCTTCTGAGACCTCATCTCTTCAGTAGTCTGGTTTTCTGATTTTCAGGCCTGGGTGTAATTGCTATGGACAGAGTGACAGGCTGGTAAGAGTGACTAGAGGGGAGAGCAACTTGCCCACATTTGAAGTATACCGCATTGGGGCGGGGGGGCAGGGTGGAGGAAAGAGGACTAGCACAGAATTATCCCCAGAGATGTATGTGGATGGCTCTGCTCCCACTTTTTTTTGCTCATCTGAAAGCTCTCAGGGTCTGCATACTTTTAAACACAGAAGTTCTCCTATGTTTTTAAAAGCAAAACAAACATACATGAGAACAAATAATAATAATGATAACTTGAGGGTCTCCCCTCAAACTTGGCTAAAAGGGAACTGGCATATAGATAATGTCGGTGTTTGGAGGTTTTCTGTTATGAAAGAGCCCCTGGATTGTATTATCTCCTTAATAAAACACCATCTTCCTTGACCTGCCATTGGAAGAAGCGAATGAATATTGAAGAGCCCAGCTGTGCTGGAACCTAGGAGGCTGTGGCAGCTTTCAGGGTACATTGCTTCTCTGTAACTTTGAAGTCCAACGTCCCTTTGCAAAAGGCAAAGAGTACTTTCTTCCCGTTGTTGGAGACATTAGTCATGGATGAAGCTCATTTAAAACTACCCCGCAACCCCTTTCACCAGCCCCACACAATCCCACCCTATATTCTTATCATGATCTGGTGAATCTTAGAAGTGACGAATTAAATAGTTTCCAGGTAAATTTTTGCCTCCATGAAGGTTTTCTTTTGCTTTTTTTTTTTTTTTTTTTTTGTTTCTGTAAGACTTAAAAAAGAAAGCTAAAAGTCATCTAAGCAAACCCTTAAGATGGTGAATCTTGACAGCCTCACTTTAATTTGGGGGGTTATTTCATGCCTAGTTTAACTTTTTAAATTATTTTTAGTATCTCCTTTTCCAGACTTCTTTGGGCTTGGGAAGAAAATGGAATGAAGTTAAATGAACTCAAAGTAAATTGAGTAATCTGAAATGAATTGATGTCAGCAATGATTCTGCAAGCAGCTCTCTCCCACATCACATCTCCTGGGAGTGGTGAGCTCAGCACTGCATTTATTCTGACGGAGGAAAGCACACACACAGACTCTGGCTGGCCCAGACCAGCTGAAAATTCAAGGCAATCACCCTCTCTGGACAACTTTCTGCCTTCCCAGCATTTATGCCCTGAAAAATCCCTGTTTGAGGAAGGACTTTCCTTTAAGTCCTAGCAGGACAAAGTCATACCCTTAACAGTGACAACCTGAATGGCAACTTGGCAGAAGGGCTCCATTTTCCCGGTTTCTCCAGCCCACTGATCCAACCCTCCGAAAGGCCATCCCACGTTAACTCATTTGGGAAAAGATAACCTCCAAGTTGAACATTCAAAAGATGGCAAAGTGGAGGAAGGACTGAGGGGATCAAAAAGGCAAAATCAAAATGCTGAGATCTCATTTATTTTCACCATCAGGGAACTTTTTGATTAGCCTCCGTTTTTCTTCCCAGATTTCAAAAAATAAAAATCCTTAAGTTCTGAGGAGGGACTCTGCAGCAGGAAGAGGAGTAAGATCACAGGATGAGAAGAAAAAAGGCTGCACATGTTCTCTCCCCACGTCCTCCGCCCCCCTCCCCCCTTCCTCTCCCCCCCCCCCCCCCCCCCCGCGCTGCCCATCACAGCCCCAACACGCACACACATAGGGCGGGCTTGTACTAGCAGGTGACGCCTCCACCTCCCATTCCTCATCCCTCGCCAGATACAGGTCTTCAGTGACCTTAGAAATTTTCGTTTGATCGGGAGTGTCGTTTTTCAGAGGAAAACCCGCCCCCGCCCCGCTGCCCTCGTCCACGCCGGGAGAGCGCTTCCCCCTGCGCTCGGACAGAACCGCCTCTCTGTGCCGCCCAGCACGTCCCATGCGAGGGCGCCCGGGCCGGGCGGGACACGCCCTCCCGCGCGGGGAGCAGCTTTCCCAGGGGTCTTGGGAGAGGCTCTGGCCTTTCCTAACGAGGGCCGGGAGCCTCCCCTGTGGGCTCGTTCCTGGCAGGCGCTCCCCCTCCCGGCGGGGAACCCCGATTTCCCCACCGCGGAGGGGAGGCACTCGCTTCTGCTCCCGGCACAGCCGCTCCGGCGGCCGGGGCCGGCGCATGCGTGGAGAGGGCCGCGTCCGCTCTGGGCTCCCCGGCTCCCGGGCTCCCGCGGCCGGCGGGCGGCGCATGCGTCAGCGGTGGGGCCGGGGGCAAGCCCGCGGAGGATGGAGCTGCGTGGGTCAGGCTCTCCTCCCGTTGCCTGGCTTCACGTCGGGGACGCTGCACCGTTGGAAGAGAGCCACAGAAAGCTAAAGGCACAGGCTCCTTACAGGGCATCTGCTTCATGCCTCCATTTTACAGATGAGGAAATGGATCCAAAGAAGGGGTGGGAAGTGACCAAAGCTGCATTTCTGAATTCTGGCACCTGCGACCAGATCCAGCTCTTGTTGGCATGGTTTAGGTACTCCTTCAGTGAGCATTTATCAAGCTCCTGGATGCGGTGTACTAAACGTATGTATGGTATGAAAGATAACCACGGATACATCAGAAGCAGTGTAACCATGGGTGCCCCAGACTTGGGCATAGAATGAACAGCCCTGGGTTTGATTTTGATGATTTGCCGGACTGCACCATGAGCTGCTTGGCCTTAGTCAAGTGGTTAACCTCTCTGAGCGGTAGTTTCCTGGCCTGCGTAAAGGAGATAAAATAGGACCTACCTGCTGGGTGGCAGAGTTTAAAAGATTTAAGGTGCACATTGCTTAGCATGGCCACTGCGCGGGGAAGGCATTCAAATGAGTGCTCAAGCAATATTTTGAGAGGTAGCAGTGGTAGGCACAGAGGCGTTCATGAGACCATGACGATACTTGTTTCCAGACAGAAGTCATGCAGAACAAGAGGGAAGGTACTTTCCCCTGTGCAGCACCCGGGGAGACTCACACAGGGTGACATGACCTGGCACTACAGAGACAAGAGGAAATGGGCTCTGTTTATCTTTCCACCAGCTGCTCCCACCCACCCTCTCCTCTTCCTCCGTTTCCAACTCTCACTGTGACTCATGGTGGCTGCAGAGATACATCAGGCCCTCTTATCAGAGTGAAATGCGTTCTGCAAAGGTGGTTTAATTTATGTTTGAAGTCCTATTTTATTTCAGGGGCCTCTCTCCTCTTTTTGCAGGCAGGGTAGGTGCAAGAAAGAGCAATCGATTTAAGTGAAGAAGAAGGAACGGTGTTTAAGTACCTAAGGTGTCAGATTGAAGGAGTCTAGGATCAGAGATCATCAGAGTTGAAGATCATCTGGGACAACGCCCTCATGTTAATGAAGGAGCCTTGAAAAACTGTAAAAGGTAAAAAGACATCAAGCTTTAGATTCAAGTTAGAGAGCCCTCATTTTCTGTGTCCCCATAATTCATTCATCCATTCATGCTCACTGCTTTAGGGGTACATTATATACTGCCAGGTACAAGGTTCTGTCTCAGTAAGCAGAGAAAGGGAAAAGGAAAATAGGAACCCAGAAGGATTCCCAGCTTCTTTGTGCAGCTTCATGGATAGTGGTGCCATTTACTGTGATAGTGACTGGAGAAATAGAAGCTCCTCTGAGACGAAGATGGCATGTTTTGAACACATTTTCTTATGTGCATGGGACTTTCAGGGATGACCTCCAGAGTGCAGTTAAGAACATGGGTGCCAAGCCCCCCAGAGAGAGGCCTGGAAGTGCCCCCTGGGAAATAGTCAACACAGAGGTCGTCACTGAAGCTGGGGCTGGGCTGAGATGGTCCGGAGAGAGCAGGCCCAATGGGAAGATCATGGGATGGATGAGAAGTGAACCTGACAGATACCAGCTCCTAAGGGTCAAATAGGGGTCCTGAGGAGAGGGCAGAAAAGTGAGAAGAAAACTAGAAAAGAAAATGGCATCAAGCAGTCCAAATGAAGAGGTTCTCTAGGGTGAGGAAGTGATCAGGAGTGGGAAATGCCACAGAGATGCCCAGCACATGAACACTGGAATGTAACCATTGAGTTGGACAATGAGGAAGTCAAGTCATTGATGACTCGTGTGACCCCGGTTTCGGTGGGGTCATGAGACCAGAAACTGGGTCACAAGGGGTTAGAGGCAAATGGAGTCAGGGAAGAGGAGCAGCAGGGAGAGTGGGTATAGCTCACTGCTTCAGAGGAGTTGGTTGGGCAGAGAAGGGGAAATGACAACTGGGGAGGCAGGTAAGTTTTTTGTCAGTGTCTTTTTACTATGAGAAACTGAAACATGCTGACAGGGTAAAGTGAGGCAGGATGGGTCAATAGGGAGAAATAGAATTAGGTCTCAGTACAGCCTCCACAGAAGTGAATGGGAGGAGAAGGTATTCTGTCCCCATGTAACCCAAAGGAAGGATTCCTCTTCCTTCTTTTACTTCTACCATGTGAGAGGAAGCAATGCACTTGAAAGCCTTAGGGATGGACTTGAGGAGCTCTTCAAAACAAGCTTTGTCTGAGTCATGGATCTAGCCATGGCATCAATATGACTGCCAAATGCATTTAATTAACCTCATTTGCATGTGGAGCTGTGCTCAACGCCACCACAAATAATGTGACGTAGATCCTGTTATTACCAGGTCTGTCAGGACTCTGGGTAGCAAGTGACCGAAACCCAACTCTGACTAGCTAAACCAAAAATGGAATCCATTAGTTTGCTAAACTGGGTAGACTGGCTTTAGGTATGGTTAGATTTTAGGTGCTTAAAAGATGTTGTTAGGAATAATAGGGATTAAGACTAAAATTGGAGTTTTATGTATGAGAGATCTAGAGAGGAAGAGAAGGGGGGGGCTTGTGGGGGGACAGAAGCAGCAGAACAAGACAAGAAGGAGGCCTAGGAGGAGCAATAGTATTGAGAAAGTAATGACTACCCCCACAGGCGTAAGAAGACCTTCTCCCCTGTTACCCCCTCCCCCTTAGAATTATGAGAGGGAGACCCTGGGTAGCCTTGCACTGGTCAGGCAGAAGGAGGCCCAGCATGGACTTCCCAACCTATGCTAGGCCCCTCATAGCCTAGACCCTACCCAGATGTAGCAGCAAGTCTGTGACCAGTTTTCCAGAGGTGAGCACTGTAACAAGGGGACCCAGTGATGTGGACTGCCAAAGAAACCCCTAGGTTCAGGACAGTTAGAAAGTCATGGCCAGAAGTCGGAAGCACCTGAGAGAGCAGAGAAGAGGCTAAATCAGCCAGGGAGTACCTTTGGGAGCAGTATCTCAGAATAGAGGATGGACCACCAACTCAACATCCACATAGAGGCTGGCAGGCCACCCAGGACAGGAAAAGTGGCCACTGAGATGGGCAGACACCAGGCAGCTATGCTCCAGGACCATACAAGGCCAAGAGTTCCCTTTCTCTCAGTACCATGAGGACACAGAAGCCACACACCACCCTACCTCTACCCTTTAGACCCTACAGGGTGATCAAAATATTTAAAAGTCCTTATAGGCTCAGGCACCAACCAGTCTGAATTGAGGTGGCCTGCTATTCCAGCATTAACCCTTTTGTTGACAGATTGTGAGGAGCTTGGGGAAAAGTCCCAGACGAGGGGCACTGGGGGTTGCTCAGGGAACTCAGGGTGGCACCTCTTTACCAACTGCCCCGGGCATATTTCAGTGTTGTATCAATCAGGTCAACCATAATGGTGGGTGTGGGTGAATATGAGCCAAACACCATCATCTTTACTGGTGAAGCAGGAGAAGGGCAAGGCCATCTGAGAAACTGAGCATGTTCTCAAAGGGGATATTGAAACTATTGATTAGACCAAGACTTAAACCAGTGTCTCCTCCTACTAACCAGTGCCTCCAGATTGATGGGGGCAAATGAGAAAAATCACATCTTGTTGATATATCCACGTTGCTGTGTGTGCTGGATTTACCATCCATCTGCTTTCCTTTATGTCGGCTGCACCATCAGGCAGCAGCTCCAAGCATTAGCAATCCCAAAGGGCAGAGCCCGTCTTTCTCAATAGTGCCGGCAACAGGCCCAGGGCATGTGCTCATTGGTCCAGCTTTATTCACGTACCCATCTCTGAACCAATCCCTAGTTGGCCAAGCCCAGGTCACATGACTGTTTCTCACCTCAGGGACTGAGAGTGGGGAGAGCCTGGCTCCTCAAAGAAAATCAGGATGCTCTTAGTAGAAAATGAGGTACTGGTTTTGGGGCAGGCAGGAACATTGAGGCACACACCACTGGTGCCTTCTGGGATTTAACTTTCTAAAACTCAGGGAGAGTGGGGTGTCTCCACAGCATGAAATGAATTGTTACCTGAGCATTTATCCATAAATTGATCCATGTAGATAACTAATATAGAAAAGCAATAAATCAAAGCAGAATTTTTCCCCTCTTAAATTTTTTTAGGATACTGATTAAATTGATTTTTTTTTTTAAAGATTTTATTTATTTATTTGACAGAGAGAGACACAGCGAGAGAGGGAACACAAGCAGGGGGAGTGGGAGAGGGAGAAGCAGGCTTCCCGCCGAGCAGGGAGCCCGATGCGGGGCTCGATCCCAGGACCCTGGGATCATGACCTGAGCCGAAGGCAGACGCCTAATGACTGAGCCACCCAGGCGCCCCTCAAGTCAGTGTTTTACTTGGTAAACATGTCTGAGACCATGCATCCCTGGCTGCTAAGCACCATGGCGGACAGGGCTAGAAAGGTAACAGCTTTATTTTGAGCAGGGGGCAAAGACAAGGCAGCACTTTATAGCTACATTGTAACTAGATCCTGCATCTAAATTGATTTTTAATAATTGAATTAGAGGAATATAATCAACTAAGTGTCCAGTATGGTTTAAAGCATAGTGCATTTCATAAATCCATTTAGAAAATTGTCTCTTCTCTTGTGAATGCGGAAACAACTGTCTTACTTTTTCCTCTGTGTATTATTTTCTCTTTTTAAAGCAAATCACCCTCTTCTAAGTCCTAGAGAAACTAGATAATTCGTTATTGCCTGTAAAAAAAAAAAAAAAGTTTTTTTGTAATAAATAAAAAGTTTAATTATCCAAGAAGAGATAGTAAAGGCAGCATCGGGTTTTCTTCACAGACTTTTATTTTCAATATCATAAAACACTCCACTCAGTAATTTTTTTTTTTTTTTTAAGTCGGCTCTAAGTAAAAGGAGATAATTAAGTTTTCAGGAAAGGAAAAATAATCATCAGTTTTACTCTAAAATTTATGCTGTGTCTTTTTGGAAATAGTATTATTCCATAAGGGATATCTTAAAATTCACAATTTAAAAAATTTACATCTCAGAATTGAAAAACTCTCTGGAGGGACGCCTGGGTGGCTCAGTCAGTTAAGCCTCTGCCTTCGGCTCAGGTCATGATCCTGGGGTCCTGGGATCGAGTCCCACGTCAGACTCCCTGCTCAGCGGGAAGCCTGTTTCTCCCTCTCCCTCTGCCTGCCACTCTGCCTACTTGTGATCTCTCTCTATCTCTCTGTCAAATAAATAAATAAAATCTTAAAAGAAAAAGAAAAAAACTCTGGAAAAAAAAGTCATTAATCACACTAAGTAGAAATAAACTCATCATGCCCTGGTGTTTGAGTCACATAATTAATTCAGAAGGGGCTGGCTTTCTCTGCATGTGGAATCCTGGCATTCGTTTATTCATCAAATATTTATCATACCCTTATAGCTTCCCTGCTCTATGCTGGGCACTGGGGATGCAGAGATGAGTCAGACAGGCTCATGTCTGGGAAGGAAGGAGACAAGCGAGTAACAGGGAGGTCCACAGAGGTGTGCGGGCATGCTGAGGGCTTGTAGGAAGGAAAGTCGATTGATTTTTCAGCAGAGTGGATGGCTCAGAGGCTAGCTGGAATAATAAGCTATCTGAAGGCTTTGCATTTCTCACACTGACCAGAACTGTGCTGGGGAAGTATTTATAGACTTTTTTTTTTGGCCCTGGCTAAGATGGAGGACATTTGGAAATCCTCTTTGGCAGCCCTGAGGCAGCTGGGCTGTGTGTCAGCTAAGAAATGAGGACTCCTGGTCATCCTAGCACCTCAGTATGTGTGCTCTGGCCTTGCCTGACTAGGCCATGGAAGTTCTGGTCCCCCATTCAACATATTCAACGTTCCGTCACCATTGAGCCGCCCCCATGGGCTAGATCCTGTTCAAGCAAAGCGGACTACAATCTCAGGTAGCTTACTTCTAGAGGAAGGGAGGGGGACAAATAGTATATCAAAGTGGCGATAAATATACTATAAGGAAAAACAAAGCAAGAATGACAGGACAGGGAATGTTGGGGATATATAATACAAAATAGGGTCTTTAGGAGATTCAGCCTAAATTCAGTTTGCCCAGTTCCCTGGGCCCCCAAGAACTGTGGCTGGTGGTACATTAGGAGCCCACCAAAGAAAGTGGCAAGCTGCCTGACCCCAGAATTCCCGAGAAGTGGCCAGCTCAGGCTAACACAGGCTGGTGTGCATACCCACCCTGTCACCAAAGAGTTTCCTCCTCTGGCGAATGGATCTGGTATAGCCAGAGCCTGGCAGCTCATGCCTGGGGAAGCGATGGGATATTTATTCTAGAGGTGAGAGGAAGGTTTATACCTTGATAGTGTCTAGGGGAGAAGGGCCATCCAGCTCCCCAAAAAGAACTTTGGCAAAGAGAAGATAAAAGGTCAAGGGCTGGGCCAAGAGTGCTGGGGCCCAGTCTGGTTGAAGGCCCCCACTCGAAAGGAAGTGTCAGTCAGGAGGGGGGCAGATGCCAGGTCATTAGAATGGGCTAGAAGGGACACCCGTGTTGGGGCAACAACAAGGAGGCACAGACCCCACCATACTGGTTATCAGGCTAGGGGGCAGAATAAGAACTCAGGATCAGGACCTTTAGGCTGGAGCAGAGAGCTGGCGTAGGGTGGCCAGGTGTGGAGGCCTTGGGAAGAAGTCAAGGGTTTTGTGTTTATCTACTAACACTGGCTTAGGTGGCTCTTGATTATAGCCAAGTCTTGCTTATTCCATCATCTGTATAAGCACTACAGTGCTTTTAACCATGAGCCAGATACCACCGAAATAAATTGTAGTTCTGTTGGGAGGGCAGCTAGGGAGAGAAGGAAGGTGAAGAGGCAAGGAATCTCCAGTATTTTGTGCCTAAAGCATAACTGCAGCAGAAACCAAGTAGAAAGAGACTTAGGCCCCTAGGGAGGATAAAAGTACGTACAATAAACTGACCAGCACAGCATGCTCTCCTGTATGGACGCCAGGACCAGAACAACTTGTCATGTTGCCACTTTGATCATGGGATTTGGATCAAAAAGAACATGGGATTTGGACTTTGCTCTGGGGCTTGGCCCTGGTCTCTGCCACCTGTCAGCTGTATGACCTTGGGTAAGTGACTTGATGCTCTGAGCCTTCGTTTCTTCATCTGGGTAGTGGAAGGGTACAAGCTGGAGCCTGTGCTAAGATTCAGTCATGTCTGGCGAGCCAGTGGGAAACCCCACAGGATCACGCAATCTGCCTTTCTTGAAGAGCTGCAAGGAGCCAAGTCCAGTGAGCTCACCAAGTGGAGAAGTGTCCATGTCGGAGAAAGGAGTAGTTTTGAGAACCCATGGTAACAATGGCTGAATCTCTCCCCGGCCCTCCCCATGCTGGATCCATGGGATTCCTGGACAGAGCTGTCACTAAAAGCTAACGGGATTACTTACTACATACTCTATAAGACACTGAGATACAGGGTCACTGTGATGAGCACCCCCATAAAGGAGCATAACAGGAGAGAGAATCATTTCCATGGGCAGCTTTGCCAGAGAAGGACGGCAGAGCAGGGAAGGGGCCGTGCCTGGCACCTGGGCATGGATTTGTTGGTGAGTACATGCAAGGTGCCTCCCCCCAGGGACTCCCCAAAAGTACAGGGGGCAAGATACTTTGCTGGGATTAAGTCCTAGCTGAGAGATGGTGGGAACAAATACTTGGATTCTTGGTCTTGTGGCTTCATTTGCCCACCACCAGGTGAGAGACTCTTGGTTGAAAGTAAGGACGTTCCCACGCATGAGCCTGGACGTGGCAAGAACACAGTAAATGTCAGATCCAGATCCCCTTCAGAAACCACGTAAGGGACCCAATGGAGCTCTTGGGGGACTGTTCAGGACATGTCCTGGTGAGTTTGGGGATTAAAACAGCATTCCCACGGCAAAGGCTGTTAATCAAAAAGTAACCTAGTATGTATGTTTGAGCACTTACTATGTGCCAGTAAGGTGTACATGCTAAGAGGGATTTGAATTATCCTTTTCTCATCACTTGACAGTTTACAAACTACCCTGATACACATTTTATTCCCATTAGTCTTCACGACAACCTAACAATGTAGGATCCCCATTTACAGATTGGGAGATGGAGTTTCAAAGAAGTCAAGTAATGTCTCCATAATAATCTAGCCAATAAGGGGTGCGACTGGACTCTCTTTCTTTGGAGACCAACAAATGAAAGAATGAGGGGGAAACCCAGCAAACACTGAAACCTGAAGTTCTCATTGGAAGAGCTGGAGAGAAAGACAGGTCTTTGTGGCTGGACATCCGGAAGAGGTCAGCTGGGACTGGAGCTGGATCTAACCAGGGGGTGGAAGGCACTGGCGGGGAAGGGGGATAGGACATGGGAGACAGGATGTAGAAAAGGAGGCAGCACGCACGTGGGGGAGGGCAGGCTCCCGGTGCTGGTCCTGGAGCTGCCCCGGCTCATCCCATTTCAGAGACTTTTTAAGGCCTTTCAAAAAGAAACTCCAACTTACTCCCCCAGAGTCTTTGGAAGTCACACCGGAGGCTTTGCCCCTATTGCAGTGTCTGGACCATCCAAATCACCTCTCATGACTTCGGCAACTGCTGGTCTCGGGGTCTGTATCCCTGTCATTTCTAAGTCTTCTTGGAGAATTATTTATGACATTCTAAAAGTATGCAAAGCCACATGTGGAAATGTGCCAATATGAGAATATTAGCCAGAAATTATGCTCATTCCAAATTGCAGAAAAAACCCCAGGAGACAGGAAAAGGAATGAGCCTTTATGGGCCAGACTTTACTGGCACCTTTCACATTCATGGTCCCTTCTAATATTCATTACAGCGTAATGTGGAAGATGAGATCAATTCCATTTGGCAATGAAGGAAACATGTTCAGAGAGGTAAAGTGACTTGGCCAATGTCACACAGCTAATAAGTGGCAAACCTAGGGTTTGCATCCAGGTCTGACTTCGGAGTACTATATTTTCCAATATACCACAATGTATAGCTTGTGGAATTCAGGTGGAACTGAGGGGACCAAGAAACACAGTTTAGTTGACAGTACAATTTTTTATCCTATTTTTTTTTTATTAATTCAAGTTTAAAGACCATGCAGTTTCCAAATTACGAGCTTCAGAAAGTTCTTACATCATTGAGGTACTCAGGATTCAAAGACAGTGCCCTATCAAAAACGGGGCCCACTTTGCACTGGGTAGAGAATGAGGAGGAGATTTTCAGGGAAACCTATCCCATTTCCTCAAACTCTGTGTCATACAAATGCCAAAGTTTGACACATCCTGACCGCTTTACTTTCCTTGGCAGCTCCAACTCTGATGAAGGAGTAAGAAATATGCCTCCCCCTTGACAGGAAGAATGTGTGAAATGAAGGACCTCAGGTGCTACGCTGGTTTTTGACAGTCCCTCAGAAGAAAGCACTTCCTGCCTGTTCTATTCAATCCCAGTCCAGGTGAGTCACTACATTTTCAGTCAGGCGAGTATTTTAAGGCATGAGAAATGTAAGCTGGAACCAGCAGAGAAAGCTGAGGGATGGATCATCACCATTAGCTTTGATGATGACTTGTTGTCATGGTGCCAGGAAGATCATTTCCACTGAGAGTCCCACTCCCCGCTGTTTTGCTGGCCTGTTTGACGTGGGAGACTGGTGGCCTCCCTGATGCAGGCGTGGGGCATGGCCACGGGCATGGGCACATATGTGCACCTAGAGCGGACACCCCCCCAGCAGGCTCACGTTGGCTACCTGGGTCACGGTTAAAAGGCTGTGCTCTAGATGAGCTGGTGGGGAGCCAGCAGGACCCCTCCCCCACCTCCTGTGACGTTTTGCGCCTGACGTTTTGGAGCAGATTCCGCAAGGGCCTGAACCACCTCCACCTCTGCCCTCTGGTTCAGCATTTGGCTCTGCAGAATGCCACCCCCGGCAGCCTCTTCTGCTGGTATCTACACTGCAAAGCTCTGTGCTATCTCTTCTGAATGGGACCAAGTGACTAGCTTTGAGCAGAAATGCAGGTTGTGTCGTAGCCCTGTGGGGTGAACCACACGGTAGGAGCCATCAGGATGAGCTGTGCTCCTTGCTCAGACTTCCCACTGGGCTGCTTCCCTGTCTCCTGCCCTTACCTGGTCTCGAGAGACTGCAGTGACGATGGGGTGGGGATGGGGAATAACCTTGCTCTATAGTTTCTCCTGAATCCCCTTAATTAAGCTTTCACATGGATGCAAGAAACAAGCAAGCTCCATCCCCGGGCCCAGTGGTCATCTCCCCCCAGATTCTGACTCAGAGGCGTGGGGCAGGCTTATTTTTATTAAGGGCCCAAGTAATTGGATTGCAGGTGGTCCCAGACCACACTTTGAGAAACACTGGGGCAGAAATAAGTCAGCAAGTGTATGAGATACATCTGGTGTGAGTGGTAATTCATCTAGTTTCTTAAGATAGTATTATGGGCTAAATTGTGACTCCCCACCCCCCGAATTTGTACATTGAAGTCCTGCCTCCCAGTACCTCAGAATGTGACTGCATTTGGAGATAGGGCCTTTCAAGAGGTAATTAAATGAAAAATAAGGTCACTGGGATGGACCCTGATCCAATATGAGTGGTGTCCTTACAAGGAGAGATTAGGACACAGACACCCACAGAGGTAAGAGCATGCGAGAACACAGTAAGAAGACAGCCATATGCAAACCAAGGAGAGAGGCCTCAGAATTTGGGAGCTTGGGAAAGATAATACACTGCGTGTATTCCAGCTACATAATATCCTACAGCATCTGCAACAGTATCCTGCAATCAAACACGCTAATATTTCTGTAGGGAAATGTATATGTTGTATAAATAAAGACCATAAGTAACCTAATATCGACTCAAGACAGGTTTTGGGGCCAAGTGAATTTATTTCAGGTCAAGTTTTGTTGTCAAACGAGTTATAAATCCAATTTTTGGTATTTGGAGCTTAGAGGGTTTTGAAATTGTGGACCCATATTGTCCCTGTCCTACAGATGAAGAAACTGAGGCACAGGGAGATAAAACAACTTTCCACATTCATTAACTCATGGGAGGTGGGGTTGGGCTCCCACCCACATCTGCCTGGCTGTGCCCCTCAGTACTGCCCACCTCTCAGGGCATGCCATGTCTGCAGAATAGTCACCAGGCTGGCAGCCTCGCTGTGAGGACAAGATACAGTGTAGGTTGAGTTCTGTGATGGGTGGAATTGTGTTTCCTCCCCAAAGTCATATGTTGAGATCCTAACTCTACTACCTCAGAATTTAACCTTATGTGGAAATAGGGTCATTGCAGATATAATTAGTTAAATTAAGATGAAGCCATTAAGGTGAGCCCTAATTCAATATGACTGGTGTCCTTATTAAAAAAAGAAATTTGGACACAGAGGGGTACTCAGGGAGAATGTCATGTAAATACATAATGCAGAGATCAGGGAGATGTTTCTCCAAGCCAAGGCGTGCCCAGGATGGCCAGCAACATGCCAGAAGCTAGGAGAGAAGGGTGGGACGTTCATCTCACTGAGCCTTCAGAAGGAAGTTACACTGCCGATACCTTGCTCTCAAACTTCTGGCCTCCAGAACGTGAGGCAGATTGGTGTTCAGGGCCCCCAGTGTGTGGAACTTTGTCACAACCACCCTAGCAAACGAATATACATTCTTCACACAGGTCCCAGATTTCAAGTGGGAGACCATTAAAGGGTAGCTAACCTAGTTACTACCTTTATTATGGAGGCTGCAGGAGATAAAGCCCGTGAGTGAGATGAGTTCTAAGGCCTCCTCCAAGTTTTGGGTCTAATTTTCTATGTTGACACCATGAGGATAGCCCAGCTCCCCTTGCCACTTGCCCCAATGGTCCGGTTCTTACGGCATTTCTTTGCTTTTTTAAAGGATGGGCTCATGTAAAGGTGGTCTTAAAAGCAAAACAAAACAAAGCAAAGAATGTCTTTTACGCCAATGTGGGTTACGTCTGTGTATGTTAAAAATGAAACCACGTGGGCCCTAATTTCCCTTTGGATGTTCCTACTTGCATCATGAACTCAGTCAGACGTGGGTTTTCTGAATCCCTTACACTTGTGCCTTCAGATCTGCCAAGTTTAACCCACAGTATGTGTTTGGGCTACAAATTCTGCAGGGGAAAGCAGAAAGCTAAGTTAGAGGTGGTTTTCTGTGAGTTAAGAGTGTATCGCTGAAACCCTATGTTGGCCTAGAAATGTGTGTTCTTTGTGTGGCAATGTGTCCCCTCATTGCCATTTTACTGAACAGATAAAAGCTTCTTTAAGAAAGTATAAAAGACTGATGAATGCTTTTTCCATTCGTAGAACAAGGTGTGGTTGGCCCAGTGTAGAGAAGAAGGTAAAAATGCTAAACTGTTTTCTTCAGGCTTTAGTGATGGGATCCCCCATTGTTGAGCTGGTTTGGACCTTTAGACGGCTGCCTTGAAGATGTCTTTTCATCTTCATGTCATGTCAATTTCAGGAAATGATCTGCTGTAGGTGGAGTGTGGCCCCCAACTCCCCATCCGTGGAAATAGGACCTTAATGGCGTGAGCGTTCAAAGAATGAGCTTCAGGTTTTCTTCTGACATCCATTTGCAGTTGTTTTGCAACTCCCTGTCAGCCCTCAGCCTCTGTCCAGCAGGCTGCTTCCAACGGCTTTCCTCAGCAAGCCGAGGGGCCTCCCTTGTCTCCCTCAGCCCTGACGCAGAGCCAGAGGTGTGTGAGCATTGGCTTAAGGCTTTCCATCTTTGCTCCTTGTTCCTGGTTCTCCTTCCACCAACTTTAGGAGAAGTAGGCCTTTTCCTATCACAGATGCAGCCCCAGTGGAATTCTGTTAGGATATCAGTATGGTTGCAGGGTGGGAGGTGACACTTCGGGGATTTCATGGTTGGCGACTCTATCCAGTGTTATCGGGAGAGATTTAATTAAGCCAGAGTAACTGCCTAATAGATAGATGCTCCGGAATAGAGACCACATCTTGTTCATTTGTGAATCCTTAGGGCCTAGCTCCGAGCTTGGCACATGGTAGGTGTTCAATAAAATTATTTGTTGAATGAATGAATCTTGATTTTCTTTCTTTATCAGATAGGTGTCTGACACGTGTTAAGTCCAACAATCATGGCCACAAACAAGGTTAGAGAATGCTTCTGTTACATCATAATAGCTCTCATGGGTCATGTCCAACGAAAAGGTCCTGAGGCCAAGGGGCAGAGGACAGAGGCCTAGGTCTGGCTCCACCACTGTCCTTGAGACCCTAGGATCTCAGCCTCCCTGTGCCTCAGTATCCTCCACTGAGACACAGACATTGTAATATCTGCTCTGCCTGCCTCACTGGATGATTATGAGAACATGACAAAAGAATGGATATGAAAGTTTTCTGAAAATTTCAAAGACCATGCCAAGGATATTATTTTTATTATCATTTCTTTTATTACAGATATTTGTACAGTTGTGTTGCTCATAATTATTTTTGATTTCTTCAGCTTCCTTTCTACATGCTCGTGTTCAAGGATCAAAGTCCGGATTACCTCCTACCCCAGATAAAGGGATACCCATCTTGGTAGTCCAGGCACTGCCAAGAGCCAGCTTGCTTGGAGCTCAATTGTCTGCTTGGCCAGCAAACATTCCTGCATCACAGATGGCAGGTGGCAAGTTAAGTCACTGAAGACTAGTTGACATAGAGTTGCCCCCTGATGCCATTCCCGTGCCCGAAGCCACAGGAAACAGAAATAGTAGGGACTTCTCCCCAAGGGACTGTGCTCCTTGACCTTACCACTAGCCCATCAGAGAGCCCTCAGTCCCCATTCTGTCTAGAATAGGCCAGTGGGGAGGTGACTTGTGGGAAGCAGCCAGCCAGTGGCCCGCAGAGCCCAGGTGGGAAGCCTAGCCTCCAGACTTCATTCCCCCTGCCTCTCGATGGATGGATCGAGGCCCTAGTAGAAAGTGCTGTACCTCCTCTTGTTTCCTGTTGCTAAGGCAACTGGGTGAACATAAAACAGAAACAGCCCACGTGGTCTTGCTGCCTCTACCCACACGGTCATCTCATCCAGAAAGCCACAGTCAGGCGGATAGATTTGGGCCAAGCATGTGTTTGGGGGTGAGGAACCCCCGGAGGAGAAACACCGGAGCTGTGTGGCAGTCGATATTCTCTGAACACTCTTCCCGGGTAGACAAGATGTTGAAGCCAGGAAGTGGTGGGGTGTAGAGAGTGAGGAGTTGAAATGGCTGGAGTGTGCCAGTTGGCAGAATGTGACAAGGGTTGAAATTGTCCTAGGCCTGGGTTCTAGCTGCCTGTCCTTAGTTACAGAATGAGAGAGCAGGGGGCATGACCACTAACCCTCATCTCTGAAATCTGTGCCTCTAGCTTTCCTGCTTTCCCCCAAGAGAGGCCCTTCTGAGCTTTTAGACAAGGGTCTTTCTTAAGGAGCAATGCAATACTGTAGGGATAAGGGCAAGGCCATCTGAGAACCAGGCAGCTCTCAGCACGGGGCCACAGAGCTGGGGGACAGTCACATGAGAGGAGTGCAGGGCAGACCATCCCACAGATATCCACCCAAGGCCTCCCTCCAACTTCAAGTTTCAACTCAATGATGACCTTCTCCAAAAGCCTCTCAACTCCACCCAGACAGGCAATAACACTGTCATCCTCTCTATTCTCCCATATTTTCATCTGCATCTCCCTGTGCACTCAGCACCTGTTTTGACCACGTACTCACCCTTTGAATGACTTTTATTGCACACATACTAATATATGCTCAGTGAAGGAAAAGTCAGAAATGCAGATGCCCACAAAGAAGAAAATAAAAACCACTCTTAAACCTGCCACCTGGAGATCATCACTGCTGATGTTTGGGGTGTTAGCACTATTTAGGCTCATGTCTTTTTTTTCTGCCTACATTCAGCTCATCAAAAGCCAAGTCCACACCTGGCCCCCTCTGTAGGCTCTCAGCTGCCGTGATGCTTCCCATTCAACAGTGGGTGAATAAACAAATGGAGGAGTGGACAGAAGGACAGAGAAAAGGTTCTCCTACCCAACAAAAGACCTAAAAAGGGAAGAGAAGGTCACATGCAGCCCCCTCCCCTCCCCTCCACTCCCATCAGAGCGGAATCAATGCCAGGAAGTGAGCGGTGCACAGAGAATGGGCCGGACCTGCACAATGATCATTAGTGGAAAGACAGAGATCTCTGCTGTATGACTTGGAAATGTCGGCCGTGGCTTAAGGGAAAAGAGGATTCATGGAAATCGCCAAGTCAAGGTCGCCACATGTGTGCAGTATTTTAGGCTCAGCAAGCAATCTGGCAAATTCAAAGCCTCTCGTAAATGACTTCCAAGAAATCTGCTTTTAGCCCCGCCATTGACAGGGGAGCACATCCCTATGACTTGCCCCTCACTGGATTGAAGATGATCATTGATTTATCTGGAGCAGAAACAGCAGGATTCCACATCACCGCTTAGAAGGCAGCCGGGGCCAAAGCAGAGAATTAACAAATCTTTATTATTAATTCCAATACCACCACACCCCATGGGTCCTGCAGCAAATCACGGGCTCTCTTAATAAGAGTTTCTCTGTGTTTAAGTGGAGCTAATTTTTTTTTTTTTTTATGGAGCATGTCCTCATTCTTAACTATGAGGACAACCTCAAAATATTCATTAATCATGCACAAGCCCAGAACATGCTAGGTGCTGCAGGAGATGCAAAATAAGTAGAACAATCCCTATATTTCCATTCATTCAAGCATCAAACATTGATTGAGACCCTTTGATGCGCCAAACACTATGCACAGCACTGGGTTTTATAGCACATTGCAGTCATTATCCTGCTTTAAAAGTGAAGAGATGAGCCTCAGGGAGCTTATAGAACTTCCCCAAGTTGCCCACAGCCACACGGTCTGTAAGAGACTTGGGACTAGAATAAAGGGAACGAATCTGACAGTTTATTATTTTTATTATCATTTAAGTGCCACTTAAGGAGCCTTAGAAATGTTAAGCCAAGGGCGCCTGGGTGGCTGTTGGTTGGGCAACTGCCTTCGGCTCAGGTCATGATCCTGGAGTCCCGGGATCGAGTCCCACATCGGGCTCCCTGCGCGGCGGGGAGTCTGCTTCTCCCTCTGACCCTCCTCCCTCTCATGCTCTCTGTCTCTCATTCTCTCTCTCACAAATAAATAAAATCTTAAAAAAAGAAAGAAAGAAAGAAAGAAATGTTAAGCCAACATTTGTGTAAGCCTCCCTCTCACTAACCCAGAACCAGCTATAGTTCATGCCAGGGGAGTAGGAAAGAGGTTTGGGCTCATTTCTTCCCCCACCGGTGAGCCTCTGGGGGAGGCTGCAAAACCAAAGGTCAACTGGTCCTTGCTCAGTACTTACTCTCGGTGGTCTGTTGATGCCTGCCTTCCACACGGTGGCAAGAGATGCAAGGGTGATCACAGGCCCGCGACCAAGATGAGCAGGAGGAGAGGAAGTTTTGGTCCCTGACAGTGTTTTGCTTCTGACCTCCGTGTTTTTTCCCTCAACCCAAAGCAGCACTTGGGTGCTAAGAGAAAGGAGCCTGAACTCAGGAGTTGTGCAGACAAGGGTTCAAACCCCAGCCCAACCTCTCACAAGTTGTGTGAGCTCGCACAAGCCTCTCTGAGGCTTCATTTTCTCCCCACTAAGTGGAGGCAATACCTACCGTGCAGAGAGGTTCCAACTGGGTAACAAAAGTACAAGTTGCTCAATCAATAGTCATCATTTACTATTTCCAAATTAAATTCCACCCAAAAGCGGAGTTGTTATTTTTTAAAAAACCATGAACTAACAAGTGTTTATTGAAGATCTATTTTAGGCAGGAAGATGGAGAGAAACCCTGCCCACCTACTTCAGGAGTGAGGGGCCTAGGCAGGGAGTAAATAAAACCCATGGTAATGAGCGACTTCCAACAGCTTAAGCATCCAAGATACAGGAAGTGAGACGTACAAGTCTCCAGGGTGTCTGCAGCTTTGGAGGCATAGGCTGTGAGTGTGGGCAGATGAAGGCCCTTAGGAGACCCCCGGCTGAGACCCCCCCAAGGCCACATCACAGGTCCTCCTCAGGGGCTTTGTTTCCATGCCTTGGTCCTTGCTCAGAGTTTGCTTTTTTGCTCGGTGCAGCTACTGTCCTTCCTGAGAGCCACCGAGGATCCAGAGCATCCTCAGGTTATCTGTGGCAGGCCTGGCTGGCTCCTCACCAGGCTCTGACCTCACCTCGGCGTCAGTCTTATCAGGTGTAGACAGAATTGTCTCCCTGCTCGGGGAGCTCCGAGCCCAGGATTCTCTTCACACCCGGGGAAGAGGAGGGCCGGGCACCTCGGAGACTGAGGGAGGCGGTCACGTGCCATCCCGGGAGCAGCCACAAAGGTCTGCGAGCACGGCCCTGGGGCCCAGACTCCGGCAGGAAAGGGAAGGTTTATGTAAGTGTTGACAAGGAACAGAGCCGATGCTGAACTCTGCCAAACAGGAGAGAAGGGAGGAGGGCGACTGAGAGAGACAGCAAGTCCCCGGTTCAGGCCCACACGGGGACACCAGCAAAGGGCAGCAGGTCACCATGGGGATCCAGTCTCCTCCAGAATGTGCTTCCTCCGAGGGAGCAGGGAGAGCCAGCTCCACCCTGTCATTGCAGAAGCCGGCCTTGGGCTGGCAGAAAGGGAAGTGAGGGAGCTGGCCCGGACCCAGGGAGTGGGCGTGGGCCCTTTGCTCCCGAGTCCCCAGGCACGGTACCAGGTGCTGTGCCAACTCCTGTTCCACAGTCGCCAAGGACACTTCACGGGGACCGCAGCTCTGTTGAGGTTCGTGAGCCTGAGTGCTCCTCGGAGTTAATGGCCTGGGGCGAAGTGGGGAGCGGGACATTTAATTAGAATTCAGTACATACAGGCTCCTTTGTCCCTCGGCTCCAGCCCCTTGTTTGTTTGCGTGGAGACCCTTGCCTTTATTGGACTTGTTAGTGTCTGTCAGTAAATGATAACTGATCTGAACTGTCCCCAGAATCATAGTTATGCAGTTCCCAGAAGCTGCACACATCAGTGTTTGCAAATTCTAGGGCTGGGAAGGGAGGCAGGGGTCAGAAACCCCCTCACCACTGGAGCACCAGTCCTTGCCCGGCCTCATCCCTGGGCGGTAGAGGGCGGGCTGAGCCGGAACTGGCAGCTTTGTCCTCGTTCGGGCGAAAGAGACAAGTAGGGACACTGGAAATATGCAGCTGGACAACTGCGCCCGAGAGAAAAGGGGAGCCCGAGGAGCAGAAAGCGTTTCCTTCCCCACAGGTTATATTCCATGTGCGGCCCTGTTGCACTTACATGGTGCAAGGCGCAGCCAGGAACTCACCCTGCAGAAATGCTCACGGGTGTGCGGGTGATGGAGTGTGACGTCGTTCATTGCAAGTGTTGCTGCAAATCGCAGAAGGTCTGGAAACAATCTAAATGCTATCAATAAAGGCCTGATTAAATAATTTATGATCTGCGTCTATGATGGCACGCTATAAAGCTCCTCGTGCACTGGGAGGGAATGCTCTCCAAAATATATTATGCCAAACAAGTACAACTGGGTTAAGAGCTGCGTGTTTAAAAAAGGGGAAGTGGGGGAGGGAGGAGAATATGTATTTATACAGAGGTGTCTTTGGAAAGATTCACAAGCTGGTAATATCGTATTCCCCTGGGAAGCAGTGTCCCCAGGTGGGTGTGGGAGCTGGGAAGGTATCAGTTGACCCGTGGTGTATACCAATCCAGCTCAAACTTAGTAGCTGAAAACACCCATTCTATCCAGCTCACAGTTCTGTGGGTTGTCTGGGGTTTCTTCACATGGTGATGTCAGAGCCCCCAGAAGAAAGAGAGCAAACCCAGTGCACTAACACTTTTAAGCCTTTACTTGCGTGATGTTTGCTAGAGTCTCTTTGGCCAAAGTACTTCACACAACCAAGCCCAAATTCAAGGAAGAGAAATAGGCTCCATGTCTTAAAGTATAATGGACATTAGTTTTCATCTACCACATGGTGGGGCAAAGGTGAGGAGGGAGGGAGGGACTTTTCTCTTTTAGCCCTTTGTACTTTCTGAATTTGAGTCATGTCAATATTACCTATTCAAAAAAAAAAAAAAAAAAACCAGGGGCGCCTGGGTGGCTCAGTCATTAAGTGTCTGCCTTCGGCTCAGGTCATGATCTCAAGGTCCTGGGATGGAGCCCCGCGTTGGGCTCCCTGCTCTGCGGGGAGTCTGCTTCGCTCTCTGCCTCTCACTCATGCTCTCTTTCTCAAATAAATAAATAAATAAATAAATACAATTTCCTACAATAGAAACTTGAAAAAAATAAAAACAACTACTACCAAAAGCTCAAACTTACTGAGGCTTACTGACATGGCAAGTGCATTGCCTGCATCATCCCCTTTTGCTCTCCCAGCCATCCTGGAGGTGGGCGCAGTTTTGGCCCTGACAGTAGCCTTCTTGAGGTTTCTGATACCAGAGGGTCAGCCGCAGAGGTGCTGGCCATTAGGAATCGCCAGAGAGCGGGGAAGAAAGGAAGCTTAGGGAGCTGCCTCCACAGTGTGGGCAGGCCTAGCAGCTGAAAAATCCAAGGGTGGCGTGCTATGGGTGATGGCAGGGGAGGTGCAAAATGCTTGACTGTTTTAAAACACACAGAGAGAGTCTGAGGGTGGGGAATAAGAAGGAAGACTTTCCAAAGATCCCAGACAAAAGTTATAGCGCTTACGGGCGCATCTGAAGGAAAATAAGTCAGTGAGAAAAAAAGAGTTTCTTGCCTCTTCTTTATTATGCAAGATAGCCACATGCGTGCACAGGCCATGGGCCAGGGCAGGCCTCGCTCGAGCCACCCACGTGGCCCGGCCCCGGCCCTGCGTGGTCCCACTGTGGAGCCGCTCTGAGAATGCTAAGCACCTGGGTGAGCCCTGCTGTGGGCAGACAGGGAAAATCCTTCATCATCTCCACCCTGTACTTAGGGCCCCGAGCTAACCCTGATGACCTTCTCCTCTCTTCCACGCGTCTACTGAGAGCTTTCCCAGAGGCTGTGCCCCCTGAGGCCATGCTCACTCCCTTCATGTGCACAGTAGTGCTATTGTGGTTATGTTTTGCTTTATCTTTTTATTGCAGTATAATGTCTGCACTGAAAAAAATCATAGGTACACAACCGATGAATGTTTTAAAAAGGGGAATTATCTATCTGTATCGCCAGCCTGCAGATCAAGAAACAGACCATTGTAAGCATGATAGTATGTCCAAACAACAAAAAAGAAGCTGCAGCAGCAGGGCACCCGGATGGCTCAGTCGGTTTAAACGTCGACGCTTGATTTCGGCTCAGGTCATGATCTTGGGGTGGTGGGATCAAGCATCATGTTGAGCCCCACATGGGGCTCCACTCAGCGGGTAGTCTGCTTGAGATTCTCTCTCTCCCTTTCCCTCTGCCCCTCCCTATCTGAAGTAAATAAATAAATCTTTAAAAAAATAAACTAAAAAAAGAAGCATTCTTTTTTTAGTAATATATTCTTGAACATTTACAGATGAAATGATGATGTTTTGGGTTTGCTTCAGAATCATTTGGAGTTAAGGGAAGTTACAGATTAAACAAGGTTGGTCATGAATTGATAATTATTGAAGCTGAGTAATGATTACATAAGGGTTCTTTGTATTCTCTCTCTCTTCGTATTTGAAATTTTCATGATAAAATTTTTAAAACAATCAATAGGGAGCCCTGGCTTCACCTCAACCCAGTGACTCTGAGACATGAGGTAAAAGCTGAGCAGTATGATGAAAAATGTCTCTTTGGTATATTACTTGGCAATGAAGAATCTGAGAGTCTAATGGACTAAATACATAAATAATTAACTTTTTTTTTTTAAAGATTTTATTTATTTTTTTGACAGGGAGAGACATAGCGAGAGCAGGAACACAAGCAGGGGAAGTGGGAG